GTTGAAGCTATTCTTTGGCTCCAGGCAAAATCTTTTCCAGAGTATCTAATAGACCTTCCTACTGTCTTGTTGGGAGGGTCACGTGGCCCTCTCTAGACCAACTATTGGCAGAGAAACGTGCTGACCACTGTTAGGCTTGGGAGAAGTAGCATCCGCTGTGAGGCACAGGGGGACTGGTGCTGGGAACATGACCAGTGGATCTGCCATAGAGGGAATAACATGTTTAAGTGTATGTGATGCTGCTGAGGGAATAATGAATGTCACAAAACATTCAGAAAAGAAGACAGATCACGTTTGCTTCCGTGTATTGAGGGTGCTGGCATTTCCTTCTGCATTGACTAGTGATTCTTTTGGATGTGCCTGACTTGATGAGAAAGAGACCTTCACCTGGCGGAAGTGTACTCTCTTACCATTATTGTTTCAGCAGCTTTCAGATTTTCCATTAACAGGTTCAGGCACTCGGGAATGATTTTGTTTTCTGGGTGAGTAGTTTGGGGCATGTGCTGTTTCCAGGGCGCAGGAGGAAAGAACAGGTAGGTACCTGCTTCTCCAGACACAAAATAGAAAAATGACACCCACACTTAAAGTAACAACCAAGCCGATTTAAAAAATGCACAGCCTATGTATCAGGAAGTTTTAGATTGGAGGATACAGAAATGTAGTGAGGCAGGTCTTCCCTCTGGGAATCCCCATTCACTGCAGCTGTTTTGCATGAAAGTTGTGTTCATTAATTTTGGTGAAGTTATACAGTCACCCAAATGATACCTGGAGTTCCTGATTCACACCCCAGGAAACAGGGGAAGCAGGAACCCGGGCCAAGTGGATGAAGCCAAGGAGAGGGTGAGTCAGCCCTTGCGTAATACGTGGAGACCTGCTGAGACATGAGGGGAGCCAGGAGTTACGACCAGGTGTGTGGGGGCAAATAGCGCGTCACCAACCATTTCACCTTTCCCAGAATCGAAATACTGCTTGCTGTTAAGAGGTTATTGCCCAAGAGTATTTCTAGGGACAACCCCAGGAGTTGCTAGTGTTATGTATGATCCTCAGTAAAATGTGTGGGCCTTGGCCATACCCCTTATCAGGCACAAAAGTGCAATTTCCTTGGCAATATTTCTTTCAAAGGCATTGACAAACTTTTCCTACAACAATGGGCCTTGCTGCCTTCCCCTGCCCGCTACAAAGCTGACAGAGAAGGAAATATAAAGTGAAATCCCTAAAAACATGAATTGTAACACATCATTAGAACTGGAGCTCTTGAGTGAGATGGTGTCTGAATGATTGCTTTGCCCCTTTTATTTAAGATTTATTATTTTTTTTGAAGATTTATCTATCTATGCATACAAGAGCTGGGGCATAGGCCAGAGATGAAGGGGGTGAGAGAATTCACCAGAGACAGAGTGGGGAACAGAACAGGCAGACTGACTGAAACACACTGAGGGGAGCAGCGGGCGAGACAGGAGAGGTCTGCTGCACCATGTGGGTCTCTCTCTGGCCGGCCAGGGATCAAACCCATGCTGCAGAGGTTGTGGATTGCCTCATAGTGTGTTGCTCAAACCCTTGCACCGTCATGGAAGCCCAAGATTTATTTTATTTATGCATACAAGAACTGGGGTGTAGGCCAGAGTTACGGAGGTAGGATGGGCTGAGAGGATTCGCCAGAGACAGTGGGGAGCAGAACAGGCAGATCTTCTGAAATACACTGCTGAGGGGAGCAGCCGGGTAAGACAGCAGAGGTCTGCTATGCCATGTGGGTTAGCTCCCTGGCTGGGGATCTAACTCATACTGCAGATAGCTTCATACTGCTGAGACTTAGCTAGTTGTGCCACCAGGGAGGCCCTGCTTTGCCTTTTTACTAAGTCCTTGAAACTGCTGTGACCATAAGTGTGAGGGGACTGAGAGACTGGGTGCAAGGAGGGCAAATCCTTGGGGCTGCTGTAGAAGAGACCTGGCTGTAGCCTTAACTCCCTCTTTTCTCTTGACTAGGAAGCTCCGTAGGCCTGTGAGTGTGTGTGTGGGGGCTGTGTCATATTATCATCATGACAACAGACAACAGCTTCTCTCATGATGCTCTTCACCCACACGTGGATCACACCAAGGGGGCATTCCTGAGAACATTGCCATAGAGCCTGTCAGGTTACTGCTGAACAGTGATTGTGGTTGTGTCTGGGAATGAGTTTAGTTACCTCTTTGGAGATCCAGCTTCAGAGATTGGGCTTCTAGTTCAAGAGTCCTTTGCTCCAGGATAAGAACCCTGGGGTTTGTTGGTAGCTGTGGCCTCTCCCTGGAAGGGGAGTGACCTCCAGCCTTTATTCCAGAAAGAGAGTTAATCTGGGCACCATGATAATAGATCTTCCCCCTCCACCTTCAGGAAGGTTACCTCACAGGATCAGTGCTACCACTGAGAGCTGGTCCTTTGCTAGCCGCTCTCCCTCCCTAGTGCCCAGCCTTGATCTGTGTGCCTTGGGGGAGGTGGAGGCAGCTGGGAGGTTTGGCCCCTGATTTGCAGTCAGTGGACCCCAAGGCTAGGGATAGAAAGGTCAAGCAAGCTGGGTGTGGGGATTGCCTCTGCTCCTTGGTGGCTCTGGTGTGAAGAGAGGAGGATTTTGAATATTTTCTAGTGTTCCCATCTCCCCCCTGCCACCTGCCCACAGAGAACCTTTGAAAAAGTAACCTTCCTGGGCCTCCCCGGTGGCGCAGTGGGTTGAGCGCTGTGCAATGAAGCTGTCGGCAGCCTCAGCAGTGCAGGATCCTGGCCGGCCAGTAAGAATCCCACATGGTGAGGGAGACCTCTCCTGTCACACCCGCTGCTCCCCTCAGCAGTGTATTTCTGTCATCTGCCTGTTCTGCTCCCCATTCTGTTTCTGGTGAATCCTCTCACCCTCCTGCGCCTCTAACCTGTACCCAAGCTCTTGTATAAAAATAAATAAATCTTTAAAAAAAAAAAAAGAAAAAGTAGCCTTCATGGAATAGGGAATAATGTTACATTTGCAAATAAAAGCATTTAGGGGTAGTGTCCCTTTCATAGTTATGGCCAAAACAAAAGGAGTTTGAAAAGAAACAAATGTAGGGCATCTTGTGATGCAAGCATCTCTGGAACACACAGGGGGTGTAGGGCCACAACCTCAGAATGACTGCTGGGCTCCCCTTCCCCCGAGACAAACACTCCCTATCCCAGGCTGTGCCTTCTGTGAAATTCTGACTCTTCTTGTTTCTATAACAAAATACACTGGCTTAGGCATGATTCTTTAATATTAGGGAGTTTAGAGCCCCAAATTAAAATGTATAAAAAAGTTTAAAGTGTTACAAACTTATCAGATAAATAGATAAGCTAAACAAATTCTAAGTTAAAAAGGGAGTCATGAATATAGGGATGTGGACACTGTCTCTTTCAACCTGACAGGGCCAATGCTTAGTTGTTTTCAGTGGCTCCTGTATTCCTGCATTCTCTGTTTAAATATTGTACAATTTTGCTACTCATTAATTTCTGATAAGCCTGACAGTCCGGAGTTTATCTGCTCTGCTGATTTCATGGTTCTTAGAAAGTTTATTTTTTTGCTGGGGGGTGGGGGGGAGCGGCTCCCAAGTGGCATAGGGGTTAAATCTCAGTGCTATCACACTCACCACTGGCCTGTGTTTCATCCTGGCCAGGGAGCTAATCTGTAGACCTTTCCTGTTTCACCCTATGTTCCCCTTAGCATTGTATTTCAGAAGATCCACCTTTTCTGCTCCCCATTTTGTCTCTGATGAATCATCTCACCCCACACGTATGGACTATACCCCAGTTATTCTATGCACAAATAAGTAAATCTTAAAAAAAACCCAAACAAACAAATTAAAGGGCCTCCCTTGTGGCCTAAGGGTTAAAGTCTCAGTACTAGCTATCAAGCTGTCTCCAGCCACTGTGGTATGAGTTCTATCCCCAGCCAGGGGCCAGGGAGGTGACCCACATGGTGCAGCAGACCTTTCCTGTCTGGCCCGCTGTCTGTTATGCTCCCTTTTCTGTCTCTGGTGACTCCTCTCACTCTCTCCCCCTTCCCTGCACCTCTGGCCTGCACCCCAGTTCTATGCAAAACAAAACAAAAAACAAAACAAACTTTGATTGTTTCTATTCCTGTATCATGAAGGCCCTGGAAAGACAGTCTCAACAGGCTTCTCCTTTCTAGTTCTGACTTTTAAGGAGAAGGACATGATATACTTTGTCTTTTCCAGGTGGGGCCTGTGGTGATAGATGGCTGACAGTGGGTAGGGCACGGCCATGTACTCAAATAACTGATGGGGCGTGAGCCATCTGGCCCTCGGCTGACTCCAGCCAGCGTGGGTTATCTCCCCTTTCCGCGCTACTTTACAGCTCTTTGCCAGCAACACAGAGTGAGCTCGTAGTATGTATTGGTTATGCCCACAGACCAGTACATTTGGGGTCTGAAGTGAGCATGGGCTGTACAAAGACGCTGCACTTACCCCACTGGATGGCATGGGGTTCATCTCTGTGCATACATCGTAGAGCTAGAACCTCAGGACATGGCATGGGCAGGCTGGTGAAGAATGTACACGTACGTAACATTCAACACACTCGTATCAGTGTTAATAGGCAGGATCCTATGTCAGTGGTGCTTTTGTAGGCCTGAATCCAAATCCACAAGGTCATTCTTTGTAGCATGCCTTTGAAATGATACCTGACAATTTTCTGAACCTTTTTTTGTTTGTGAAAAGGGGTATCAGGCTCAATTATCTCAGTGGGTGGTTGTGAAAATGAAATGAGAGACTGCGTATAGACTGGTAAGAGTTAATAATTGCTGCTTCTGTGACATAATATGTAATGTTACTTCTTGATCTTGTATTTTAATAATTTATCCCTAGGTCTTTAAGTCACAAGTGGTTCTTTTCCTACAAGTGTAACAAGTGCAATTTGGCAATGGGTTTCTGAAGATTCGAACAGGTTTTGTAATCACCCAGTTCTGTTAAAAATAGCTCAATTTCTCCCTTATCTATTTGCCCAACAGCGTGCCATGTAAAAAGTGCGTGGTGGTTGGTAATGGAGGAATTTTGAAGAATAAGACATTAGGGGAAAAAATTGACTCCTACGATGTAATAATAAGGTAAATATATTTGCTATTTGCTGACCTACAACTGTTTCAAAACAAAATGGTTTCCTTAGAGCTGTGCTTTAAACAAAAGGGGAATTGTTTTCATGTTTATATACATTACACAATCTCATCTTTCAGTTGCTGGTTAAAGGTGGCCCGATTTCATGCCATTCATTTAGCAAATACTTATATGGACCCCTTAATATGCCAGAAATGGTTATAAATACATTTGGTTGGTAGCAATGAAAAATATCCTTGCTCCCTCTGAATTAAAAAAAAATGTGATGATGATTAATTACTTTAGATGGTTGGGCTCTGAGGAGGAGGCATCTACGCTGGACCCAAGTTACCATGGAGGTGTAGCCCCGGGAAGGTTGAACAATGCAGGAAGTGAGAATGTTTGTTGCAGCTCCTCAGGAGGATGTGAGCCTGGCTGTGGGAGGTGCAGTGAGAAAACTAGTGTGGATGGAGGGCAGCAGGCTATGCCAGGCCCTCTAAGCTTAGACTCTAGGATTTTAAGGAATTTTTGGAAGATTTTTAAGCAAAAGTAATGCAATCTGGTTGTCTTTAACATAGTATGGCTGTATCTTGAGCAATGGCAGGTGAGAGACTAATGAGGTCAGGTATGTTGCTGTGTCAGGCAGAGATGGTGGTGGCTTAGAACAGGATAGTCATGGGAAAGGAGGTACGTGGATATAGACTGAGACATGTTTTAGAGGTAGAGTTATCAGAATTTGTTGCTGTATTTATTAGATATGGTTTTAGTTGAGGGTGGCTGGAATAGCGGTACCATTTATTGCGTTGGGGAAATTACAGTGGCAGTAGGTTTCAAGGAGAGTCACTATTTCTCTGTAGACAGGTTAGCTTTGAGATGCTTATTAGATTTGCCTGGTTAAATCAAGAAGGGAGGTAGATAAATATGATGCACTCTTGATGGTCAACAGTGTAGAAGCTGTATTTAAACCATAAACTGGCTAAAGATAACCCAGGGAGAGAAGAGTAAGAAGAGGTCCCTGGACTGAGCGTTGGAACAATCAATACCTTAGAAGCAAAGACAAAGGAATAAAAGAGATGGAGAGGATCCTTCAGTAAGGCAGGAAGAAAGTCAGGAGAAAGGTGAGCACAGACACCAAGAGAGCACTGTGCTTTCAAACAGAGGGAAGGATGGAACAGGTCACCTGCAGGTGACAGGTCATGCAAGAGAAGGACAGAGGTGGTCACTGGATTGGAAGCCTGAAACTGGGCACTCATGACAAAAGCAGGTTTGGAGACGGGAAGTGAGGGCAGTCGTGCGATTGAAGTGGGTTGAGGAGAGAATGCAAATGAGAACGGAGAGATACCAGCATGGGCACTCTTAGGGGAAATTTGTGGAGTTGAGAAATCACATCATAGGTGGAGATGGTTATGGACTCAAAGAAGAATCTTCTGTTTTGTAATATGCAAGAGCGTATTAATAAACTGTTGGAAATGAGTAGACAAAATGGTTGGTTTGGTAAAGAGGGGCTGGAGTTTGGTGCAGAGTATGGTTGATCCTCTGTAATGGAAATGAAAATCAGGGTTGTGGTTACAGTTTCCCAGCGTCCCGCACATATAGTTACGGGAAAATGGGGCCATCTCTGTTTCTATTTGGTTGTTGAAATGTTGGGGTGAGGTCCTCCTCTGTAGGTGGGTGTGTTTTGAGAGTGTCTGTGTATAGTCTTTTGAGAGGGAAAGCTTTTACAGTGGGGGCAATACCTCAGGGTCACCCAGCAGTGTTTGCAGGATTTGCTGGGGTACAATTTTACAAACATTTCCACAGAGAAAGGCGATCTTATTTTCTGTTTATCCCTTTTATTTTATTTTTTAAAGATTTATTTATTTATTTATACAAGCACTGGGTACAGTCAGAAGCGCGGGAGGGTGAGAGAATTCACCAGAGCCAGAGCGGGGAGCAGAGCAGGCAGAAGGACCGAAGTACACTGCTGAGGGGAGCAGCGGGCGGCAGGAGAGGTCTGCGCGCCATGTGGGATCCTCCTCCGGTGGCCGGGAAGCAGCTGGGGATCGAACCGGCACTGCAGAGGCTGCGGGCAGCTTCACAACCCAGCGCTCAACCGCTGCGCCACCGGGGAGGCCCCAGTTTATCCCTTTTAAAGCTGTAAAAATTTACCCACAGAAGTTTTGAAGCACTCACAAATTTCATTTTTTAAAATCTGATCACCTAGAACCACAGCAAGTCCTTGTGGGAAAATATCACAGCACATTATGAAAGTCACTTCAAGTGTTACTAAGACTGTTTTATGTTACATAGTCAGTGGCAAAGGTGAAACAGTGTTTATGCTCCTAGGGGACACGGTTGTGGAAACAAAGCATTCCTTTTAGTAGCATGCCTTCATTACATGCATAAATACTGCATGTCTAACCTTGGCATTGGGCATACACAACCCAACAGTGGATCCTTTGTGGTTTTTAGTTCACTCTAGCAATAGACATTCACTTAATTGCGCTTGGCTATAATACAGCAATTTTTATTATTAGTTTATTTCAGATTGCAGCAATTTTTTTAAAAAAAGATTGATTTATTTATGCATGCAGGAGGGTGAGAGGATTCACCAGAGACAGACCGGGGAACAGAACAGGCAGACTGACTGAAATACACTGCTGAGGGCAGCAGCAGGGAGCCAGGAGAGGTCTGCTGCTCCATGTGGGTTGCTCCCTGGCCTGCCCAGGGATCCAACTCAGAGGCTGCGGATTACTTGGTAGCGCAGTGCTTAACCCCTTGCGCCACCAGGGAGGCCCAGATTGCAGCAATTTTGATGGGACTTCACTTTAAATGTGATTACTCTCGCCTGTCAGTCACTTAGATGCACGGCCATGTCCTACATGACTCTGTAACCCTGGGCAAGTAACTTTATCTCTGGAACCTCAGGGCCCTTATCTGTACATCTGAGAGGTTTTGTCTGGTTATCGGTGTCTTAGCTCTAGTGTACTGTGGTTCTGTGTTCCCATTTGTTTTATTTAGTCTTCAATTTCCCTGGAGGTAATACTGAATTATCAGTGGCCCAACTATTTTCAAATAAAAGGAATACTTCTGCCTTGCATCAAGCAGCTGCCACAAGAAAGGGAATTATCTCCTTGGCTGTTAGCGTGAAATACCAACAGCTTGTGGCTCCTGAGCACTGACTATAGGGCTGATGATGCTGGTCCAATTCTGAAGCGTCTGAGAACTGGGATGGAGAAGGCTCAGACTGCACTTGTGTACAAATCTTGTGTTTTACCACCCACAGGATGAATAATGGTCCTGTTTTAGGACACGAAGAGGATGTTGGGAGAAGGACAACCTTCCGACTTTTTTATCCAGAATCTGTTTTTTCAGATTTCAGTCACAACGATCCTAATACTACAGTGATTCTCACTGCTTTTAAGCCACTTGATTTAAAGTGGCTGTGGGAATTGTTGACAGGTGGCAAAATAGTAAGTTGGCAAAATCAATCTACCTTAATACTTTTTTTCCTTAAAAAAAGATAAACAATGTTGTGTTTTCTATATTCTTATTTTACTGCAGAACATTAATGGCTTTTGGAAGAAGCCGGCCTTAAACCTGATCTATAAACCCTATCAAATCAGAATACTAGATCCTTTCATTATCAGAATGGCAGCTTATGAACTGCTTCATTTCCCAAAAGTGTTTCCCAAAAATCAGGTATGTACTTTTGTTCATTTTCACACGAAAGACCGCTGGGGTGGGTTGGCATGTCCTGGGGCTCCCAGACTGCCTGAGGACTCTGCCTTGTGAGGTGGCCTCTGAGGGCCAAGTCTGAGTGAGTGAAATAAGATATCTGTGGATACTGTTTCTCAGGTTGCAAAACCAAACCAAAAACAACAACAGCCTTTCCAAGGGCACTTCTGGGGTGCCTTTCTGCATGCCTTGTGGCTCAGCTGCCACGGTCTTATCCTCAGTGCTCTGAGGTGAGGTGTGCTTGATCAGGGAGAGGACGGCTAATGGGCAGGCTCCTGGACTCAAGGGAGCAGGACTGGCCTCAGGACATGTGTGTGATCTTTCAGGATCCAAAGAACTGATGCACTCTGTGATAACAGTATCACAGGAATGCCAGAGGAAAAGGTGAGAAAGGACAATAAGGTAGTCCAGAAATATTTCTGCAGTCATGGAGAGACTTTGGCAGTGACTTATCAAGAAATGGTAATTTTAGCAGTGTTGTTTAATTCTTTGATTAAAACCCACTGACTTTGACTTACAGCGTGTTTGTCCACATTCCCCAGGAGGCAACTCTTGACCCATCATGTCTGATATGTCTCCCCTTTGAAGCTTGAGTACTGTAGAACATAACTCAATGGAAATGAGGTTTTCCATATTTGTAAAGTAGGGGAAATGCAAAGAATTAAACATACACCATGTGTCTTTTTTGGCATGATAAAAATTATAAGAAATTCTAAAGCATTGCATGCTTCAAATTGACAAATTGACAATTGACAAAGGGAAAAGAGAAAAAGAAATCCTACTCCTGTAGCATGCCTCCCATTTTTGCTTTTTATCTCCTAGACTATTTTCTAGGCATTTACAAACATGCACATATAGGCTTTTCACTGTTCAGTAGAATTTTGACTATATGATCGTTCTATTTGTTGCCCTTTAATTAACTCTTTCCCTATTTATGGCCTTTTAGGTTTGTATCAGCTTGTCTTGTTTCAAGGGCTCCCCCTTTTTCCCCTTCCCCCTGCACAAATGTAGCAATGCACAGGGGTGTTTTTACACACTTGTGTGATTTCCACAGGACAGACTCCTGGGAGTGCAATTTCCAAATCAGAGCATAAATACTTTATTTTTAAAGATTTATTTATTTACATAAAGTAGAACCGAGGTATAGGCCAGAGGTATAGGGAGTAAGAGGATTCACCAGAGACAGAGTGGGGAACAGAATAGGCAGGCCGACTGAAATACACTGCTGAGGAGACCAGTGGGCAAGTCCGGAGAGGTCTGCTGTGTCATGTGGGTATCTCCCTGGCCGGGGATCGAACTCGTGCTGCAGAGGCTGCAGATAGCTTCATAGGTTGCATCTTAACCCCTTGCACCACCAGGGAGGCCCAGAGCATAACTATTTTAAATGTTAACTCGACTTCTTAGTAATTTTGAGGGGAAAGGACAACTTCTTAAATGTATGTTTTGTGATTTTTCATCCCTTATTTTCTTAGCTGAGACATGATCAGATTTATCCCTTGCTTTTTGTTTTAGCTGTAGCATCTCTAAATCCAAACACACAGAAACACCCTGATCATCCTTAGAGATGATGCTAGAACATGTAACTAGATAAAAGCTCTGGCAGGACATGGTAGCTGAGAAGCCAAATGAGGATACTACTATATTTCAAAGGAGAGGTCAGCCATGTTTGTTCAGAGATTAATCACAAATCATAAACCCTGGTTCTGGAAATAGGTCATATTGGTGATATGGGCAGAAAGGAAGAGAAGGAAAGCCTACTTGAATTGGGTTAGAGATATCATGGGAAATGAGCAAGCAGTGACAAATCTTTAATAATTTTGTCTTGAGAAAAAAAAAAAGAGTACCGAGAAGTGGAGTAAGAATTGGAAGAGGCCATAGGATAAGAAAGTTAATTTTTAAAGGATAAGATGCTATGTTTGTGTGCTGGAGGGATGGCTCAAAAGAGGAAAACCTTGATGAAGGGAGAAGGTGGATAATGGTAGAAGCAAAGTGACTGAGAAGTTAGAGGGGATAAAAAACAGTATACTAGAGGAGGTTGGCCACAGGTAGAACAGGGACATCTCGCTGAAAATATGGGTCAAGATGATTGATTTGAGTTGGAGGATGATATAGCTCATCTGCATGCTTCCGGTTTCTCTGAAAAATTATTGTCAATTCAAAGTAGCAAAGAGGAGAGGGCTATTGGAGGGTAGAACGTTGTTAACCTGAAGAGTAGGAATGGAAGCTTACTTAGGGAAATATAATTGGATTGGTAGATATACCGGATGTCCTCTTGAGACGTCAATCATAAATATAATGCGTGACCAGGCAAGTATATTGTTTCTTCTTGCCCTGTTCTGTTGCTGGGGTGTGGGCTTAACCAGGAATAAGTCTGTTAATAGAGGTTTTATGAGTGAAGAGTGCAGAAGAGAACTAAAGGTTTATGTAAGAGAATAATTATAACCTTGATGAGTGAGTGTTCTAAGTTGTGAAGACAGGACTTAGAGGATGTGAAACGGGACAGTGATGGGAAAAATGTGACCGAATCAATGAGATTGGATGACTCCTGGATTGTTAACTACTAACTTCCCTCTCCATCAGATGGTTAGGGCTTGAGGTGGGGTCACAGTTGTACTAGGGGTAAAGAAAAGCTCCTGCAAAAGGTTGTTAGCCTTTCAGACAAGCCTGCTTCCTGAAATTTAATTATTCTTTAAAAATTTTTTTCCTCAAAAATCATAATTAATCCTATGCAATCTCTATGGAGTCTGCAAGAAACATTTCTAAAGGAAATATCCTTAAATTGTTTGGTTTAAGATATATTTTGTTTTTGTTTTGTTTTGCTAAGTCCTGCCTGTCTAACATCTATTACAGTATTTTTCAGGATATATGTAATATAAAAGGGATGGCTGGATTTGATTTTGATGTTATTTTTAAATTAATAATGATCCAAATTGAGATTGTAGCTAAAATGTGTCTACATCTGAAATTTTTATTTTTTAGTCTGAAACTATTACAATTTGTCATTGAAACTCCTTTCCCTAGAGCTAAATTTATAATTAGAATTTTAAGAAATATTTTAAGGCTAACTTATGTGATGCTTCTATCCATTTGTAAATTAAGCTGTTTTATGTTTCATACACAGGTGCAAAATCCTCAGGCTTCACTTTTTTCACAAGGAGTCTAACTCAGCATGCCTTTTTTTTTTGTTTTTTAATATCCTTGTTTTATCACAATATAGGATTTTTTTCCCTTAGGTGTTTTGACAAATTTCCCCACACCTAAGCACACACAGTCCACCATGCTCTCCTTCCTTTCCCTCCCGCCCCCAATCTATGATCACCTTTCAAAGTTGGTCTTAAAGTTTGTCTTTGCCGGATTCTTTTCTATTTTCTCTGTATGCCACATATAAGTGAAACCATCAGTATTTCTTTCTCCTCTGGCTCACTTCATTTAGAATAATTCTGTCCGCTTCTATCCATGTTGCCACAAATGGCATGAGTTTATCTTTTTTTGATTGCCGAGTAGTATTCCATGGTGTATACATTTCACAGCTTCTTGATCTACTCATCTGTTCTGGGTCATTTAGGTTGTTTTCATTTCTTGGCTATTGTAAATAGTGCTGCTATACCCATAGACGTGCAGGTTTCCTTTCAAATTAGTGTTTTTGTGTTCTTTGGATAGATACCTGGGAGTTGGAATTACTGGGTCATATGACAAATCCATTTTTAAGAGCAAGGCAGCAGTATCCTTTTCCTTGAGCCTTACAATATTCCTTCATTTGATAATTGTCCTCTGGGCTAATACTACAGTTGTTTTATTTAAAGATTAAGATTTCAATCACGGGCCTCCCCGGTGGCGCAGCGGTTGAGCGTTGGGTTGTGAAGCTGCCCGCAGCCTCTGCAGTGCCGGTTCGATCCCCGGCTGCTCCCCGGCCACCGGAGGAGGGTCCCACATGGCGTGCAGACCTCTCCTGCCACCCGCTGCACCCCTCAGCAGTGTACCTCGGTCCTTCTGCCTGCTCTGCTCCCGGCTCTGGCTCGGTGAATTCTCTCACCCTCCCGTGCTTCTGACTGTACCCAGTGCTTGTATAAATAAATAAATAAATAAATCTTTAAAAAAAAAAAAGATTTCAATCACACCTTATATTCTTTTCAGTTAGGGTATTATCTGTTTGGGGTTTGAGCCTTAGGACACAATGAACATTTAGTTAAGTATTTCTCTCCTAATTAAATGTTCTGCTGTCCCTTTTAAAATAAGATTTAGCCAATCAAATATGTCTTGTAAACAATTATCTAGTTTGGATTCTTTAATTTTCATTTACTCTCCCAGAAACCCAAACACCCGACGACAGGAATTATTGCCATCACACTGGCATTTCACATATGTCATGAAGTTCACCTTGCTGGTTTTAGATACAACTTTTCTGACCTCCAGAGTCCACTGCACTACTATGGAAATGCCACCATGTCTTTGATGAACAAGGTAACAGAAATACATTTTTGTATAATCTTTGATGGAAAGCCTGTATTTCTTCTCACCCTGTCATTTTACGGAGGGAACAGGTCCTAAAAGGTTGTGGGCTTGACAGGGTTTCCAGACCTACTAAAATACTGAAACTAGGACTCAAGTCCAGAGTTTTTACGTAGCAGCAATTCCCAATTTGTGGGAATAAGTATTAGTTATTGTCAAGTATCATCGAACCCGTATTATACTAAGCCTTATCTTAGATATTGCATCTTTCGTTATTAATAGATAGACATCCTGCCGTTTGAAATAAGACAAATTCACTTAAAAGCACAGTCATGCTCATAGTAAATATTTTGTATTTTTTTCAGTTATGTAGATGATAAAGTCTGTAACATTTTAGCCCCAGGAAAGAATTTTCACGCTCATCTTGCATAGAGAGTATTGGTGGTAGATTTGTTCCTTAAAGATTTTTAAATGACTAGATGGGAAGGATTAGTCTATTTTCCTAATTCACAGACTAGTGGAGCATCAAAATGATAGGATTAAATGTTGCCTGTTTTGTTAGTGAAATATAAGATCAGTCCAGTTAAGGCATCATCCCCAAATACTATATATAAGCTGAAGTGAGTTTAATCTGGAAATCAATTTTTTTACATTTTAAGACACTTTGTTTTATTGAACTTCAACATACACTGTAAAATGCACTCTTGAGTGTATGGCTCAATAAATTTGTACATTCATATTATTTATGTAGCTATAAAACATTTCTGTCACCCCAGAAAGCTGCCTCATGCCTAACACTAATGTCCTGTTTTCTTAAGTAACCTGTTACTGGGTTATTCAAAAGCTTTTAAGATTCAGTATATTCCATTTAATGTTAAGATCTTTATCCCAGTCTTAAATTTTTGTCTTTTTCTTCTTTAGAATGCATATCACAATGTGACTGCAGAGCAGCTATTTTTGAAGGACATTATAGAAAAAAACTTTGTAATCAACTTGACTCAAGACTGACGCTACAGACTCAGAAGAGGATGCTAATGCTAACAGTATTAGTTTTATTTTTATACTGCAATTTTTAGTTTAAAATGTTGGCTGCACTCATCAGAAAATTATGTATATTGTTTGCTGTTACCTGGTGATTCATAATCACCAGCTTAATTTGTGTGAATATATTTAATTTAAGGAAACCAAGATAGATATATTTAGTTAAAATGTCAGGAAATGTTTTGTTTGCAGTTTTTTTTTTTTTTTTAAAAGCTCGTTTTCTGAGATGTTTTAAATGTCTTTTATAGTAAACAAGCAAATTTAGTTTAGCACAACGAATTGTGAGTATAACATGACATTTTGAAGCATTTCTGACTACTGTAAATTGGTGGGGAACTGGCAGGTGCTTGGGCCTTGATGTGGTGAACTGAAATGACTTCAGGCCTATATCTGGATGATTGTTTAGTAGTTCCTTTCTGTTGTCTCTGAAGAAACTGAATCTTAAACCAGTTCTGAATATACAGGAGAGTTATGGAAACTGGCTTTCCCCCCTCCCCTGCAATTAAGTTACCATGATAATGATGAATAATTTGGTTATTCACTCAAAATAGTATCTTTACCAAAGAATGTAATTACTAAAGTTGTGACTATTTTAAAGAAATAAAGTTTAACTTTATACAAAGATGTTCAGCTAGGCAAGCTCAAAGGGAAAAATTCTTAAACATTTCTTGCCTGGTTTAATTTATTCACTAAATTAGGAAAGATGAAGATGATACAGTAAGTAAATCCTTAAGAAGAGTCAAGCTGTTTTTGGATTTAAATTGTATTTTCATGAAAAACTGAATTGTCCACATGATTAAATCTCAACTTCAAATGGAAAACTTACCTACGTGGGTGCACCAGAAAAGAATCCTGTGGGCTGCAGATAAGCCAGAGTGAGTCCTGCAAATGTGGTGAGCTCATCTTTTTTCCTATTTTAATGAATGTGACCAAGTTAACTGGTGGAGGGGTGCAAAGATAAAGGAAGAGCAGTAGAAGTCATTAGGTGGAATTAAAATCTGTTCAAAGAGGTATGAATTCAAAGAGCTGATCTTTCAAACAATTATCACTGTGCAATACTTAATGGTGTTACTGAACCCTCTGTAAAGAGGTTTGTACGGCGTAAAATAGTAGATCAGGTTCAGAAACAGGAATCAATGAAATAATTAAAAGCTGACTAAAAGGGAGAAAACTAAGGTAAGTTAGCCAGATTAATTATGGATCATGTTAATATCTACATATGGCCACATGTGGACTCTAGTCTAGTACCTGCCTTTTCCACCTTGGTTTCCTTTGATTCTTCTAAACTTGAGGTACAAAAGGCAAGTGGACTCCACATACAGAGTTCTCATACCACACAGCTCTATGATGTTCAGCTGAGGGAAAGTAACTTGGTCTTAAGAATGACAGAACAAGTCCAAAATAAATGGTGGCATTTTCAGATGTTACTGGTCATGATATCTCAGTGTTAACACTGAATCTGGCATTTTCTGTAATAGGAGAAAAGCGTACAAACCTCAGAGCAATACATATATACAATTTATTAAAAACACACAAACACATTAAAATCTCACTATTTATACAATCTAAATTCTAGCAACATATACAAATACTGAGTGACTACAGTACATGCCGAGGTAAGAAAAGTACATTCTGGGAGATTATCACTGACACTCAAGCCATTTTTATTTCCAATATGCATTTCATACATGTTTTTTCCTACCTTTCCCAGCACCCCCTACCCTCCCTCCCCACCACCAAAAAAAAAAAAAATAAAAATAAAAAGAGATGAAAAAACTAGTCACAAGTTGGATTAAATAAGAGTTGGTGCCACAGTTAACCTAAAAAGTGTATTAAATAGCACGCAACTCTTATTTAGGTTTTGCAGTTTAGGGACTTCAAGTTCAAACTGAGAGGCAGGGACAAGGTTATTTTGTTTCAGGTAGAGCTTCACGTTTCTTATGGTGGTTTCAAAAGCTCTCTATCCCACCTACTCAGTTCTAATTTTATCATCTGACATGGTGTTTCTGTATTGCTCTTGCTCTCCAGGTAACAATGTGGAGCCAAGGCAGAGAAGTTCAACCATTATCACTTTCCATAGAATTATGTCACGTTTAGATGAGCTCATTTCCTGCTCCCCCCTGGGGGGAGGAAGGGCAAGTATATGCATAATGTCAACTTCAATTACTGTATAAAAAATTTTCTACTCGAACCATTTCATCAGTGAATAAACCCATTGTTCAATGCAAAGTGCAAATAGTGAAACATGAACTTAAATAACTGGACTAGATCCTGCACATACAATAGGATCTATTTACTTATAGCTTTTAATAAAATATAAATCAGCATTCACAATATCTTTAACTGTGCTGGTTTCCTAAGATCAAGTAACAGCGAAGTTAGTGTAATTTTATGAAACCTATAATGGCCACATTTGCTACACCACTGTCTGATTCTACTTTTATAATTGTATTGGAAAAAAAATCCAATAAAACACAGTGACTTAATTCTTGAAACACCTAAAAGACTTAAAATTCAGAATTTTTTATGGTTACTTTCACAGTTGTTACTTGATTGTCTCCAAAGCTATATATATAATACATGACATAAAAAGTAGAAAAACAACAAAAACACCAATTCTTCATTACTATGAAAACAAAAACTCAAAAGTACAAAACCAGAATCACCCTTTGTATCAGGCTCAGCTCTTCATTTGGAAAGTAAGATATATAAAAGTAGTAAAAACTTGTGTAAAAATCATTGGTAGTTTAACAGCAGAGTGGCAATTATGAATCAAGTCTTAAAGTATGCATTATTTAAAGAAAACATTTGCCTCAAAGTTCCATGGGAAAAACAATCAGGTGCACACAATTACATAAAAATAGCAAGCATCTTTGGAAAAATGAAATAGTTACTGGAAACATTTCTCTTAAAGCTTCAAACAGGCATGATTTGAAGAAAAGTATATTCTCTGTACTAAAGATGAATAAAAAAATAAAGCAATTGGTTTACTCTCTTCCCACCTGAAAGGGGATGACTGCATTAATACATGTGCTTTACACATTCATATGTTTTAAAAAGTTCAATATCTGTGCTTTTTGTTTCAAATATTTTGAAACAAAATATGTTCTGGTGTGGACAAGAAAAAGTAAATGAAAATAAATCCAACAATCACACAACTAGAAAGCAGAAATCAATAGTTCTGTTTTTGATCACTGATATTCTCGGAAGCAAGCAAAATGAACATTGTCCATTGTTATTCAATTTAGTGACTTGACATAATTTGGAGGCAGGGCAAAAGAAATGACTAGACCTTCGTGAGAAAATACATCTCAATATTAAATCTAAGTCTGTAGACTAAGATTTACAGAAGAGGGAATGTCAAATTTATATATTTTAATCATGTCACCTTGACAATCTAAAAGGTGGTTTTAATACTACATGAAGAAATTGAAGATGACTTCTGGACAAGTGACAAAGAAGTTGCCCAGAGATATATAAAAAATAAGACCTGAATATTCACTTGCTAGGATGCAATCACATCTGTTCCCTAGATTTGAGATATAGGGCTACTCACCAGACAGATGAGGGCACAATCATGCAGAGCTGAAGAATACATCTGGGTTTATATTATTATAGTTTACCATAAAAATTTTTAAAATTCTATTTAACAGTAAGATAGCTTGAGATTAAAAATCTTTAGTGAAAGAGGACAAATTCTGGTTACTTCTCGGCGGAATGATTTTGCCTTTCACTGTCATAAATGTAAGTATTTATGGGGTTCACTTAAAAGTCAAGTTTTAATCATTCTCCTAAGGAAATTCCCACTGCAAATACAGTTGGGTGCAAGGGACAAAATCGCCTTTATAACTTTAAATTGTAAAGTTGTTCCTGTTTCCACAGAGAAGTATACTTAGGATAGATTCATGAAGTTGATAAAGCAATCATTACCCACTGGGGGAAGAAAAAGTCTTATAAACTTAACAGAGTTGGCCTCCAAGGACCCCAGGAGGAATAAGCAGGCATGAGACCAAGCCATGTACCATGAAGTGTTAAAAGCTCTTAAGGGTGTTGAAAGTGGGAAAAAAAAAAAAAAAAAAGTCACCCTGCTCATTACAAGTCAGTTTCCCAGCTACAGATTTTCCTAAGGAAAAGACAGACAACTGCATATGATTGCAGTCAAAACAATGATTCTATCAATTTTTTAAAAATCCAGAAATCAATACAGGAGTAAAAGAGGAGGAAATCATGATAGTACCTACCTTTCACAAAGAGTAAAATTTCAAGCCATTAGACATTTCTAGAACAGTACCATGCATTATTGCCAGTCAGGCTTACAGAGCCATCTCTTAAGTTCATTAATGTATCTGCAGCATTGGTAATAAATACGTTCAGTGATTAATTTCTTTGAAGTGCATAGTAGGAAGCCTTTTCTGTATTAAAAAGTGTCTTACAGTAGTAACAAACAGGATGTTCAAAATGTAATAGGCAAGCAGTAATTGCCACATAACACTTTTAAGAGCAAGATGGCAAGATTAGTAGTTTCCTGTACCTCGGGCATCACATTTCCTCCAACCACATCTGTGACAGATACATAATACATTCTATATATTACTACCACTAATACAAAAAAAAACAAGGCCATGTGCTTTAAAATGATGCTTTGTAAAAAGCAGCATCACCCTCAAAGGATTTCTTTAAAAACATCACATTCACCATCCCTCCCTGCTCCTGATACCTCCTGTGTGCTCTGTGGCACCTGATACACCATTTCCTCTGGCGCACTTGGGCCCTGCTTCCCACCTTTTGGGGTATCATACTGGGCCTGGGCTGAGGAACAGCTGTCAGTCCTGGAAAGAAGAGTGTTGTATGTTCCCACTAAAGGGGGAGGCTGGTTTCCTGTACCTTTGAAAGTAGACGTTGAAGGCAGACCAACTGAAGCTGTGGGGTGTCCTGATATATCCATGACGATTGGGGTTGCATATTCTGGTCCAGTTATTGGGAGTGGTTCAGCGTAGGCATGATAGACTTCTTGCACAGGGGAGTTGTAAGGATCGAGGTCAGCGTAGCCCACTTCTTTCCCTTCTTCTGGTTTAAAGGTAGATCTTGGATGGAGTGTGCCAACAATTCCTCCCACAAGTGGCTGTGCATATTCTATAGATACCACAAAACATGACAAAAAAGTTATCTCCCTTATACAGCAATCAATTAAGGGTGGCAGGTATAGGTTCACACTAAAAGCACTTCTTTGTGGCACTTTTGCAGCTATCAACACAGACCTATGGATGTCCCTGAAAGAAACATCTTAAAAAATTAACAGTACGTTAATATGCAAGAAAGCCTCCTTCATGTAGTTTTGCATGAACAGTGTTCTTTACATGTATAGATAGTATTTTATAGGAAAAGAAATATTCCATGGTTGCTATAATATCAGTCTTGAAAAATGATGAGTTTTTCTTCCTTTTCCAATATTAGGAAATGTTTAAAATAAATATGTATTTGATTAATTTGATAAATACTGTAAGGCTTGCTATAGCTTCCCTACTCCTTTTAATACCCTGACAGCCCCAACAAAACCCAGGCAAACAGACAAAATGCCCAGAGTTTTCAGAAATTAATGCCCCAATTTTGAACAGAACATCTAAGACACACAAATAACTCTCAAGGTCATATTTTTATAAAGTCCTTCCAGGGCCTCCCCAGTGGCGCAGCGGGTTGAGCGCAGCGCTGTGAAGCTGTCCGCAGCCTCTGCAGTGCAGGTTTGATCCTGGCCGGCCAGCGAGAATCCCACATGGCATGGCAGACCTCTCCTGTCGTGCTCGCTGCTCCTCTCAGCAGTGTATTTCTGTCGTCTGCCTATTTTGCTCCCTGCTCTGTCTCTGGTGAGTCCTCTCACCCTTCCGCACCTCTGGCCTGTACCCCAGCTCTTATATAAATAAATTTAAAAAAAAAAAAAATGACAACAACTAACATTTAAAAAAAAAAAAGTCCTTCCAGAGGCCTTCCTGGTGGCATAGTGGTTAAGTCTCAGAGCTATCACTTTTACGGTCTGACTTCGATCCCTGGCCAGGGAGTTAACCCACATGGCGTAGCAGACCTCTCCTGTCTCGCCCACTGCTCCCCTCAGTAGTATATTTCAGTCAATCTGCCTGTTCTGCTCCCCACTCTCTGATGAATCCTCTCCCCCGCCCCTCCCCAACCCCACACCTCTGGCTTACACCCCAGCTCTTGTATGCATAAATAAATAAATCTGTGTGTTTCAGTGGGTCTGCCTGTTCTGTTCTCCACTCTGTCTCTGGTGGGGCCTCTCACCCTCCCGCACATCTGGTCTGTACCCTGGTTCTTGTATGCATGAATCAATAAATCTTAAGGAAAAAAAAAAATATATATATAAATAAAAAGTTCTATCTTTGGAACAACAGCTCATCTCTTACACATGAAAAAGGTAAAAGACACTGTACAAAGCAGTTTACAGCAAGCACAGCAGCTTCTCCCTCTACCATGTGTCTGAAGGCTACCATGTCATTACCTGCAGAGTCTGTCTGCAGCACTGTGGTGACTTCTCTTGGGCTCAAGTGATTAACCTCACTACTGCTGTAGCGAACTGGAGTTTCCTCATGTTCCACAGATTTGGCAGGGAGAAACTGCTTCATTCCTTTCCACCAACCTTTATTGTGATTGTAAGCAAAAGAGATCACTTAATAAAAACCAATGTCTGAAATAACCATATGTTAAAACAGCATATTGAGGAACAAATTCTGTTGCTTTCAAGTCATTTCTATAACAAGTACCTATACAAATTAGCCTTTATGCTTGAGTTTTTATTTATTTATTTTTATTTGTATTTGCTACCCGTATTGTGGTAAAATAAGAAAATGTGTCAGATTCACCATTAAATTGGTATTAAGGACAGTGGTATTAAGGACATTCACATTGTTGTGCAACTATCACTGCTATGAATTCAGCAAAATAACAAGACAGAGTCAACACTCAATAATCAGTTGCATTTCTGTACACAATGAACAATCTTAAAGTTACAAAAAAAATCCATTTACAACAGCATTAAAAGAATAAGATGCTTAGGAATTAACCAATTAGATGAATGACTTGTATAACAAAAACGATAAAACATTGCTGAAAGTGCTTCAAGAAGATATAAACGAATGGAGCACCACATCCCATATTCATGGATTGGAGAGCTTAATAGTTTAGATGTCAGAACTACCCAACATGATCAACAGATGAAATGCAACCCCTTCAAAATCCCAGTGACATTGTTTGCATAAATAGAAAAAGCCATCCTAAAAGTCATGAGAAATTTCAGGGAACTCTGAATAGCAAAACAGTCTTGAGAAAAATAAAAAAACTGGAAAACACACACTTCTGATTTTAAACCTTATTACAAAGTTAGTCATCGAAACTGTGGTATTGTCATGACAACCAACATATATAACTAGTGAAACAGAATAAAAAAACCCAGAAATAAAGCCTTACAAATACAGACAAAAGGCTTTTGACAAGGCTGCCAAGATCATTGGGAAATGTATACTCTTTTCAACTAATGATGCTAAGAAAGCTTAATCTCTACAAGCAGAAGACTGAAGCTGAACTCTTACTAGCAGCATATACAAAAATAAATTTAAAACTGACCAAGGACCAAACCTGTAAGACCCAGAACAATAAAACTCTTGATACTGGGTTTGGTAATGATCTAAGGGATATGACACAGAATACACAAACACAAAAGAAAAAAAATAAATTGGACTTCATGAAATTTTTTTTTTTTAATTAATGTATCTTTTTTGTGAAATCTTTAAGATTTAGCTCTTTAAGGGTAGGGTAGAATTCACTAGTGAATCTATCAGGTCCAGGACTTTATTTTGTTGGGGTAAGATTTTAGACCTTTGATTCAAACTCTTTATTAGTTATAGGTCTATTCAGATTTTCTATTTCTATGTGATTTTTGTCTTGGTAGGCTCTATGTTTCTAGGAATTTATCTGTTTGGTCTAGTTATCTAATTCTTTGGTGTAAAATTGCTTACTGTACTCTCATAATCCTTTTTATTTCTGTAACAAAGGAAGCTATGTACCCATTTTCATTTCTGATTGTAATGCTCTGTGTCCTTTACCCTTTTTTTTCTTAGTTTAGCTAATGGGTTTATGTATTTGGTGATCTTTTTTAGGAACCAATTTTTGGTTTCACTGACTTTATTGTTTTCCCATTCTCCATTTTATCTCCAATATTTACTATTTCCTCTCTTCTGGTAGCTTTGGTTTTAGTTTGTCCTTTTTCTAGTTCCTTAAGTTGTTCAAACTTATTTTTTCAGAACATGGTAGGCACCTCTACCAAAAGCACATACTATTATGGACATAGTTTGTCTACTGAAGGGTTAGTTTTAATAAGTTTTTCTTAGAAAGTATTTTCTAACACCCAGCCTGGGGAGCTGGCAGCACGTGATGTGTCCCACCACTGCTCTTTTCTGCCATGGCCTCAGCTGTGATTGGTTTTTTGGATCCTACCAGTTTTTCCAGTAGTTAGCCTACAAAGGGGGAGACCTGTAGGCTACGAAGGGGATGACCTCTGATGTCACCTGCAGCAAGCTGTCACACAGAACAGGAATTCATGACAATTCATCATGGTAGAGAGGGCAGACCTCACAGAATTGCTGGACTCCACTTGGTAACTATCCATGGTAACAACTCACTGTATTGCCAGGACCTCAGTCTTGTGCTTCTTACACAATGTTTGTAAACACTAGGAGGAAAACTAGTTTCCTCAAGAGAAACAGAAAATTGGGACACCAGGCAAGTTTTCCAGAAGAAAAAAGAATAAGCATTTTATAAGAAATTCTTACTCTCCACTTCATTAGTGACTAGAAAAAGAGTTTGCAGAAGAATAACGCTATTTTTCTAACAGTGCTGAGAATGATTTTCCTTTCTCACTACTGTTACCTGAAAAGCAAGGAATTCCCTCTAATGGAAAGAGATGGAAAGTTATGAGTTACCTGCCCGGTCCCAGTAAGGTAAGTCATAGGTGCCTTCAGTTTTTTTCTTTCTGGAAAAATACAAGAGAAAAAAGTTAGCATAGAATAGAATGAATTCACTAATAAGACAGCTTTGAAACTGTAGACTAAACACCAAAGTTAATAATTAGTCAAGAGTACACATTTCCAGATCTACCCACTGAAGTCTTCTATTTCATTTGACATTCACAGTTGCCACTGCTGAGGCTCATAAATTCTAAACATAAAACCAAACATTAAGCTAAACATAAACTGTCTCCTGAAATATTATAGTTAACTTGCTATCCAATTATTTCCCAGTCAAACTGGATAAAGGAATAAAAAAAGGCATTATAAAGACTAAAGACCCAGCCCTGACATGTGGGTTTATGGAGAAATCATGTTTAATGGTCAGTATGTTTTGGTTTCAAATATAAATTTCACAATCAGTTCACAAGGTTCACAGAACTGTAACACCTGAAGACACATTGTCTTCTGCATTCTTCTTTTTCCCCCACAGAAGTTACATAGGATAAGTCAAAGCTGTCACTAATAGGGACAAAGTGGTGGAGGGAGAACAGGATTCTCCAGGCCTGGGAGGTATGAGCCACTTGTGCAAGAAGGTTCTCTCCAAGCCACTCCTCATAATTCTGAATTGTCCTCCCCCAGGAGTAATCTCCCTTCCCTCCATTAAGAATTACTATTTACTAAGCAGCTTTTACAAAGAGAAAAGCAAATAGAACATTTTCTGATTCAAGAATTTAAATCCATTAAAATTAATGATTTGCAAGTAAAACAGAAAGCAGAAATTATTCTAGCGTAAACACGAGGACAGATGGTTATGTGATTTGCTTAAGTTCCCAAATGCAGCTTGCATAAAAAAGGTTCTATACCTATTTGGAAAGTCTTCTCTAGTACAATGCTGTTTTCATTCTTGATATTAAAAGCATCCTCATTTTGAAGTTGAGTTGTATTTAAAATACACTTTTATTGCTTCAAAATAAGGTACTATGTAAAATTTGTGGAAGAGAGGGTGGGGTGGGTGAAGTTATCAAAAATTTGAATTGGAAAGAAATAATAAAATGCTGGTGTAATTAATTAATTAATCTTTTCCCTTGAAACTCTTCTAATTATTATAAGAAAAGAAATCAATGATCTTTTCTATATGGAAATCATATGTTCAAATGGCCAGAACAACATCTTTAATGGTATAAATGTAGGCCAAGGTTGCACTATAAAGGATTTTTTTTTAATTTTTTTTAAAGATTTATTTTAATCAATTAATTAATTAATTTATACAAGCACTGGGTACAGTCAGAAGCGCAGGAGGGTGAGAGAATTCACCAGAGCCAGAGCGGGGAGCAGAGCAGGCAGAAGGACCGAAGTACACTGTTGAAGGGAGCAGCGGGCGGCAGGAGAGGTCTGCGTGCCATGTGGGACCCTCCTCCGATGGCCGGGGAGCAGCCGGGGATCGAACCGGCACTGCAGAGGCTGCAGGCACCTACGCAACCCAGCGCTCAACCGCTGCACCACCGGGGAGGCCCTATAAAGGATTTTATATACTTAATCTCAATTGACAAAACTTCAGCTTATTCACTGTAAAATGCTCAGAACAGCATTTGGCATGGGCTCAGAATTCACTAAGAGCAGCTGTTTTTATTCTTATCCGCCTTGCTCTTAATGACATCTCCTTTACTCCTTGTCACAAAGCCAGTTGTCAGCAACTTCAACTACATTCTTAGCAGTAACTTCAATTCTGCAGTTCAGATATTTTGTCCTGGACAGGCATGTAATTCCATCTGCCCCTCAGGAGTCTGAATGTCCATCCCAAACTGATCTCAGCACTTGTCTCTTGCCTCCCTCTCAATAGCTCTGCTCCTCAGTCCTCATCCCACGCCCCTGTGATTTAACCAGAGGATTAGACTCGACTGACTGATGACTTTTGGGAGCAGCCATGATTAAGAGCACAGGCACTGACACCTGGTCAGAAATTCTACTTCTCTGTGGTAGCCAGGTGACACAGGGCAAGTTATTTATGTGCTTGTGCACGCTTGCTCGCTCTCTTTCATTATCTGTCATCTGGGATTTTCAAACAGTACCTGCTTCATAGGTTGTTCTGAAGATTAAGTTAAAACATGTAAAAGCACTCAGAATACCTAAAAACAGAACTTCCTGTAAAAAATCAGCATTGCTGCTGTTCTTATTGTTGCTACCCAATGGCATGAAAGCATCATGAACTTTCCTTCCTGGACTCGCCTTTCCCTACCGCCCTCATTCTGATTCCACAAGTCTCTGCTCAGCCCCTCCAACAATGTGAATCTGGGATCCACATGCTCCTCCAGCACCCCCCCCAAAGCACCTATTACATGGTCAGTACATGGCAGATACTTTCTACACTGTGTCCTCTTCTGTTCTGTAAATTCTGGGGTTCCCCACTAGACTCCAAGCACATGACTCAATACTTGGTACAAAAAGCTCAATATTTAGATGAATGAATAAAGTCATTCTCTTTCTCAAACAAACATGCCCCTCCTGTTCTGTTATCTCAACTCTTTTTTTTTTTTTATTTTTTTTTTTTTATAGAGGCATGTTTTTATTTATTTATTTATTATATTTGTTTGTTTGTTTTGTTTATACATGCACTGGGTACAGTCAGAAGCGCGGGAGGGTGAGAGAATTCACCAGAGCCAGAGTGGGGAGCAGAGCAGGCAGAAGGACCGAAGTACACTGCTGAGGGGAGCAGCGGGCTGCCGGAGAGGTCTGCGCACCATGTGGGATCCTCCTCTGGTGGCCGGGGAGCAGCCGGGGATCGAACCGGCGCCGCAGAGGCCGCGGGCAGTTTCGCAACCCAGCGCTCAACCGCTGCGCCACCGGGGAGGCCCTGTTATCTCAACTCTTAACATCTCTACTGATCTAGCATCACAAGCCAGAGACTTCAGATCATCCTCGACCCCTCTGACCCCTCCCTATTCCTTAGCAGGCAGCCAGTTGTGTATTCCCTTGACACCATTATGAAATCTCTCCTCCATCTATTCTCCCTGTCCTACAACTCTGTGCTATGTCCTTGCCTGGCTTATCTTGCTGCCTCTTCTAGTCTCTTTCCTCTCCAGTTCACCCTCCAAAACTCCTGCCATTGTCTTTCTGCAATTATCTGATACTATCACCTCTACACTACACAAGCCTCAGTGATTTCCCCGTATTTGATTTCATTTACAGACTGAAATGTAAATTGCTCTCTTCCTACAAAGTCCTTTCTGATCCAGGCCCAGGCTACATTTCTATGATTACTTCTTTCATACCAAGCATCCTGTGAAATGACTAACTCTTCTGAGAACATCTCACATCTCTGTGCCTCCACCCAAGGAATTCCCTCAACCCCTGGGAATGCTGGGACATTCTCTACCCACCTCTGTCTAACCAAATCCAGCAACTTTAAGGCAAAACATGACAAACTTGAGAATTACTGTTTCTCCAAAAAAAATTTCTGATGACTCTTAATGGTTCTGTAATACTTCATAAATGAACTCCTCAAACCACATTAGTGAAATGTGAGGATCAGCTTGTGTCAATTAATCCTGCTAAAACCACTTTGAAGATAGGAATTGTGTCTCATTCTTTCATTAAATATTACTAAGCACCTACTATGTGTCAGATACTCTTCTTATTAATGTGTATATCTCAGTGTTTAATGCAGAATTTGATACAATAAAGGCACTCAATAACCATGGAATTAAACTTGCTCATTTTCGGGCCTCCCTGGTGGCGCAGAGGTTGAGCGCTGGATTGTGAAGCTGCCCCCAGCCTCTGCAGCACCGGTTCGATCCCTGGCTGCTCCCCGGCCACTGGGCGAGGGTCCCACATGGCGCGCAGACCTCTCCTGCCGCCCGCTGCTCCCCTCAGCAGTGTACTTCGTCACTCTCTCTGTTCTACTCCCACTCTGGCTCTGGTGAATTCTCTCACCCTCCCGCACCTCTGACTGTACCCAGTGCTTGTATAAATAAATAAAAATCTTTAAAAAAAAAAAAAAAAAACTTGCTCATTTTCATATAGGAACAAAGGAGAAACATGTATTGTCATTCTAATGACGTTATTACCTCTACTCTCAAAAAGGTGAATGGAATTTTAGTTCATGTTATATGATTTGCATTTGGAAACATCCCCTTTAGGAACAATAAGGTGAACTAGTTTGGACCTACCTGTTTCTCCAATGCCACGCACATACTAGTATGAGAATGAGAGTTGTGAGGACCATGACCAGCACAGGCACAAGGACAGCAGCCAGGGCTACATCTGAAATTAAAAAAAAGGTACATTACTTCCAAAGTCAGAATCATAAAGGAAATACATGAAGGTCAACCTATCATCATCCAAGATTTTTCTATCTCAAAAAACAACATACATATTATTTATGAGATAACACTAAGCTCGAGTTTGTGACTGCAGAACCTTTCATAAATTCATGGAAGTTGGTCATACCATTTTCTCTTTTCATATGTTTTAAATTTTTTTTCTTAGTAAGGTTCTAAATCACCAAGACAAATGATAAACTGGGAAATATTTGTTTTCTGCATATATGATAAGTTAATAAAATGAAAATGTTATAGGATTCACAAGTCAAAGAGCAGAAAAAAAGATGAATGAGCAGTACGTTAAAAAACACAAATGACCATTAAACATGTCAGTTTTACTAGTAGACAGACACAGACCTAAAATAAGATGCTAGTTCTGTTATTCAAATTGGCAAATATTTGAAAGAATGACTAATTATTGAAGAAGATTATCAGGAAACAGGTATCTGTGGAAATATAAATTGAGACAGATAAGCATTTGGGGGTAATATATATAAAAACCTCGTACGTGGCAATTCCTTAGCTAGAATTTTTTAGGAAAAAATTACGCCATTCAAAGATGTATCTTTCTTTCCCATCAAAATTTTATTGACTTGCCAGTCATTTACACAAATATACAAGTTTGGGTGCACTGTTTCATATCTCAACACATGCCCATGCTCTCCTTCCCTGCTACCAAAGCTCCAATGCCAGTACACTATTTCCTAACTCACTCTATATGCTCCTCCCTCCCACACCTTGCTAGTAACCACCGGAATTCAATGCTCAGAGATGTTTGTCTTTGTACCTGTGTAAGAGTGAAGTTAGAAATATTCATGTCCAACAAATGAAAGTAATTCATGGTATCACTCTTATAGTAAATAATTACCCAGCAATTGGAAATAATGTTGCAAAACATCATGCAAATTGTTTATAGTTATGGGAAGATAACGATGTAGTACAAGTGTGTATATCAACAGAGCAGAAATTCTTACAAACTTGGAGGCTGCGGGGACTTGGAGATCACTTAATTCCCTCATCTTACTGTACATATAAAGAATCCTGGGCCCAGATACAGAAAATGGTTTAAGGTATTGGGAATATTATTTATTCCTTTATGTCTCAACCCCCTCCTGGCCATAAAGATGATAATGCAGCAATAGCTGACACCAACTGGGGTCTAAGTGACTGGCTGGCAAGTGACATCTTAGTTACTCCTTATAAATGTATCCAAAAGATAGAAAGATGATCACCATACAGGAAAGGGAGAGGGTAATCACGATATGAGGCCTCTGAGAAGAAGGGTGGAAGGGTACAGATGAAGAGATCAGCCCAGGGCAGTTCAGTGCAGAGGAAAAGGGTACAGGTGAGTTTGTAGGCTCCTCAAAAGGAGTTTTCCTCTAATGACTTCTACGTTCTTTATGAAGTGGAAGAGGTAACTTAAAAGTGGGTGCAGATCTTTATTAAGAGTTTGGAAATTTAGGGAATGTTTACAACTATAGCTACCCAGGAAACAGAAAAGACTAGCTAATGCTGAGAGTGCTGCTGAGGGCTGGCCTGCAAGCTGTAGCAGCACAGACCTAGCCATGACAGGACTATCTCCAGCGTCTCTCTCGGCCTGAAGTGCGCAGAGCGGAAAGTATGACTCAGGCTAGAAAGCACTAAAAATTTAGAATGTGCCCTTTTCCCAAAGATTTGTAGATCAGATTCAGAAGGATACAACTGGACTTAACCGTAGATCTTAAAACATTGGCTTAGCTTTGAAAAAATAATAAAAACTCTATATATCACCATCCCAAAGACAAGGAAACAGGACATCTTGAATTTAAGAAACCTGCACATTCTTTATCTTTGTAGGCTTACAGGATTATAGTTTTGGAAGAAAGCATTTTAACAACACTATTAGTTGTGAGATTTTTAGCATTTTCTATCAGATTTTAAGAGGAATAATACTTCTAAATGACTACTTTTCCATCCAGGCACATGGTCTAGGATTCTGGCTACACACATGCTTCTGCAAACGGCTAAAAAGCTCTTTGTGGGACACCTGTCTCTGAGAACTCTTGCTTATCTCCAGTTTCCCAGCAGCATAAAAAAAGAAATTGGTCTTTTTGAAATACCTTAGAAGATAGGAAAGAAATCAACATGTGGAAAGTTGGAAAAAAAGTTAGCTGACTCAACAAATTTTCAGAAAAGGAGAATGATTAAAGTTCTATTTGGCACAAATTATTCTGAAGAATTGCTTCCTCTTCTCTGCACTGTCCTGGGAACAAGTGTTTTGTTTGTTTGTTTGAATCTGCCAACACTGAAATGAATTTGTCTATGATACTGAGGTTTTGTCCTTTCTGAATTCAACTGAAATTATTTTTCAATAGCTAGTAAAATCAAAGAACAAATGTGTTTCATCAATGTTAACACCTTATTGTTAATAACAAAAATTGAAAGTAAATTATACTGATACACTTGTATTTATAACTTTAAAACATATAACTGAACATTTTAAAAGCAAAGAACAATAGCTTTTTACGGCTATGTTATTTCAGAATTTCTTTCTAAGTACTAGTTTTCACCAAACCCTTTTTCCCCTCTTCTCTTTTTGCCACTGCATTTCCTAGCCAACAAATTAGTATGTAATTGGGAAAATAAGTTTATTTCCTATTATTTTTTTAAAAAGATTTATTTATTTATTTATACAAGCACTGGATACAGTCAGAAGCACGGGAGGGTGAGAGAATTCACCAGAGGCAGAGCGGAGAGCAGAACAGGCAGACTGATGAAGTACACTGCCGAGGGGAGCAGCAGGTGGCAGGAGAGGTCTGCGCGCCATGTGGGACCCTTGCCCAGCGGCCAGGGGTCGAACCAGCGCTGCAGAGGCTGCGGGCAGCTTCACAACCCAGCGTTCAACGGCTGTGCCACTGGGGAGGCCCGATTTCCTATTATGGTTTTAGTTATTTCTAGAAATACTATATTTCTGAGCCCAAGATTCCAAATATTTAGCTGTAAAAGGTAAAAAAAATTACAAGAGGAGGTCTAGAATGAAGCATACATGTCTAAATATTTAAAGACCAGGTTGACATAGAAGTCAGAGCAATGCAGTCAGTTTGTTCCCTAAGGAGGGGAAGCAAGTTTTTTACTGTACTTGAAAAATACTGTTAAGAAAAACTGAGGGCTTAAAAGCTGGAAATGCTTCTGAAAACATAAGCTTTAAACAAACACTACCAAGTGTCAAATCTTAGATTTGCCTACCTTTGGTTACATTTGGAGTTACAGTAGTATTTTTGATATCAGGAGTGGCAGTTGTTTGCTCTGTCTGTGCAGGAAATTCATTGCTACTGCGAGGTTGTAGTGGTTGAGTAAATTTTGGGGCACGACCTTGAAAACAGTTTTAGAAACTCTTTAATCTTTCATCTACAACAACTTGATTAAAATAAAGTTCTTTTATAATGTTTTTATTATATTTATGGAAAATTAAACCACAAGTTTAGGAAAGATCTAATTTTCACATTTAAAGCAGGCATACCTTTGGCTATTTTTGGAGGGGCTGTAGTGTTTTTGAGGTCATTGCTGTTCCGAGGAGGTGGCGGTTGAGTAAGTTTTGGAGGACGACCTTGAAAAATGGTTTAGGAGTTTATACATTTTGTTTACAAATATCAGTTAAAAGTAATAATTGTAAATGTCTTCAACATTTCCTAGAAAATTTAATTGTGCACAGTAATTTTAAATCTCAGAGAAATATGCCATAAATATAGCCTGTGTTAAAAGTACAAATTTACTGAGATTTCTCAGTTTTGAAAAAGCTGAATTGTTTAAAAGTAATCTTAGGAAGGAGAATGGGGAGGAGGATGACACTGAATCCTAAAGTCATAAAAAATGTCATTACAATATGACATAGTACTTATTCAGTTCATTTAATAAATATTTAGGGAGGGCCCCCTACATGTTAGGAACTACGATAGTTTGAATATATAACCATCAACAAAGTATTAAAATATTATGTAAAATTAAGGGAAGTTATTCCCACTTTTAATTCAAAGTGAAAAGCAAGTAGACTAAGGGTACTGCTATAATCTTGAGTGCTTATGTGATACAAATATACTAAATGAGACCTGATTAAAAAGTTATTAAGATGGAGACTAGATTTGGAAAGCATATTTTATTAGTTCATAATGATGTTATTGCTTCTTCCAATTTGTAATTTTGAAAATGATTTCAATCTAACTTCTTAATAGGACAACTTTCTTTTAAAGTATACCCTTTTATGAAAATATTCTAATTACAGCTTAGACACTTACATCATTATTACTTTCTCTGAGGACAGTAAAGTCATTCTTAATTAATCCAGTGAAATAACATGTCTTAAACATACTGTAACTTTACCTTTAGGAATAAACTGACATCCAAGCAGTTCCATTTTCATGGCAATTTTCTGCTGCCACTGAGTGGGATTCACTCTAATAAAACGTGCAATAATTGGTGGCAAAAAGTTATTACGCACATCCTGATGATAATCTTTGTTTCCTTGAAATATCTTTAAAAAAACAACAAAAAATTGGTACTTTAAATAAACAGAGGTCAGGCCTAAATTGCTCCACTGAAACAGGTTTTTTTGCTCTGGGATGTAAATGAGATCTGCAAAGTATGACAAGATGATTTAATTTCTAAGAAAATAAGCTAATCATAATTTGATAAACTGTATATTCTTCATCAAAAATTTAAAAAAGGAAAAAGTCAATAAAAATGATTTTTAGGTGATTTAAATGTCCCAAGAGTTCTATAACTTGGCAATTTCAGATAAGGGTTTCAACTGCAGTGAGATAGTTTATTGTTATTATAAGACACTCCAGTGCTATGCAATTACCAACTATTTAAATATAACTGATGATAAAGGTTTAAAAGAAAATACTCTATTGTATACTTGTTATAATTTTTCTTTGAATAAACAGATGCCCACACTCACATAACAGCTATATACCTCCACCTACTGGATACACTACAAAAAGACAGTTTCCCTATTAACCTTTTTAATTCCTTATTTCTACCTCAATCAGAAAAGTGACAATGAAATATTGTTTTCTGCCCAATTTAATGATCATACTGAATAGCAATAACTGTACTACCTTAATGATCTTTAGGTTAAAATATGATCTTAAGTGACTCATTATTTCAACTATTCAAGCAAATAACAGCAGCATCTCACACTACAGTTCATATAATGTAAGTGAATTGCACAGCCAGTCAACAATACAATAATGATTTCAAACTGTGTCTTCTGACTTAAGTACAGGGCTCCAGTAAGCAGAAAACAACACCCTCTTCCCTTTCTTCCTTCAAGTCAAATCACCTCGGTATTTTCTAAAAACCATGGATAAGTGCCCAAAATCAAATAGTTTATCATTTGAGGTGACAGAAAGTAAATGTTTAACTCCTCAATCAAGTAATTTCCAAATATTATAGTTATTTTCATCCCAGGACACTCACATGACATTAAATTATAAACTTCTAGGCTATGTTAATATTTGTCATTTTCTAAAATGTTTGACGGTACAATCATCTCCAAAATAATAAGCTTCTATTATTTCCTCAGCTATTACTGATACAAAATGAAGGCAATTATTTGCATTTTATTATATTAGTGGAACAAGAATAATAGCTAAACATCTTTTTAGTACATAAAAACTATTGCTGAGACCTTCCCATGCCGCAGCCTCACTTACACGAAAACCTTAAAGGAGAAAGATTTTATAAAGACTAGATAAAAATAAGGCTTGCTGATTCTAACCCATGCATTTTTTTAAGAATCCCTGTGTACAGGAAGTTCTGCAAGTTATCATTAGGGTAAAATGAAACTAGAACTTAAAAGTTCCCATTCTCAAGAAATGGAATTTTTAATATTGGATAATGCCACACAAATATGGCACACTATTAAAAAGCAATGCATCATAAAAACAAGTTGTATATATTCTCATTTTCTGAAAACAAAACCAAAATCTGTCTCAGTCTATATATATTTGCTCATGCATGTGTGCATGCTTAGAAAGGATGTGAAAATGAATATAAAAATTACCCTTGAGTTGGGGATGAAAGAGAGCAGATGATGGGCTAACACAAGTACAGGAAGAGGCTAATTTCATGTAACTCCACGTAAGTATTTCACTTCTATCTGTAAGAGCTTATAGGGACTGGATTTACCTTCCTGCCTTACACATCAAAAAAGCTGAATAAAATATACAGAATAATGATTTTCAGACACTGGACAATTGACAGCATAAGGCAATAATCCCTGAGTGAAGGGAAACAAATGAGATGAGGCTTACTATTATCACAATATTATGTGAAGACAGCTGATGGTGTCACTGAGTTGAGAAAGAGCTCAGAGGTGGAAAGGTCAAGCCAACTAGAATTTACAGAGTAAAATGCAGGAGAAAAGAGAATTACACAGAGAGAAAGACTTCTACGATCTGTAGGTTTCCAGTTCTATCTTAGCGGCATGTAAGAAATGATCTATGGACAGGAAAAGAATCACCACAAGGAAGCCAGCAGAAGAATTCTTCCACCATTATGGCTGGAAACAGCTCACTGTTGCCAAAAAATGGTTTCCCCAAATTTCATAATACAATGAACACTGGGTTGAATACTTAGAACAGGATTATCTCAGCAGTGGGGAAAATTAGAACTAAAGGCTGCCCAGGTCCCACCTAACAAACCTAAAAAGCTAGCCTTAGAAAGATTAAATGATTTCCAAATAACCTAACTACATCCCAGAAAAACCTTCAAAATATTTAAAAGAAATACTGAGCACTAAACAAGGTAAAGTTCATTAACATCTGACATTCAATCAAAAATTAGCAGGTACATTAACTATAACACAAGATCAAGTGACGTAAAGACCCAGATATGACACATAAGACAGACTAGATAATGGCATTTAAAAAGATATTATACCCTGTGTATGTTTCAGAAGTAGAAAAAAGTTAAATAAATATGGATGCTCTTTGGAGTAAAAAGTGGTCAAGCATGGGAGCATTAATAAGTAAGATAGTTATGGGGAAAATAGTATTATTTAATGAGTAGAAGCTCACCAAAGATGAAGCTCATTTGATATTAAATAGAAGAGAGGAAAAGAATATCTTGAACTCTAGCAAAAGAGTTTAGAACCATATAAAAGATAATATGGAGCCCCTGCAGTTTTCTGAACAGAGAATGAGAAAAGTGGTAACTGAAGATACACAAGCAAACCCAAAATAGAGAATTGATAATCTCATATAGTTGAAACAAAGCTCATGGAGAAATTTTACTGAAAAAAATGTGTTCATCACTTCAATTACAAATGAGAGATATCTGTTTCCCCTAGGACAGCTTTGCCCCTATTCATAAGATCCTTGTGGCAGAAGACACAGGCCAGGATGCCAAGTGAAAGTGATAAACGTTCAGAAGGGACTCAGCTTTTGCCTATGCAAAAACCCTTATCTGCTCTGGTGTATTCCAGCACAATAATTTTTTACTAACTAAAACAATTTCATAATGCCATAGAAGTTAAGAAAATTCTTCAGCTAGAATGCAAGAATACTAATTCAAAAGGAAATGCACTCTCATGTTCACTGTAGCACTATTTACAATATTCAAACTATGAAAACCACCTAAGTGTCCAAAAACAGATGAGTGGGTCAAGAGAACATGGTATATAAACACCCTGGCATACTACTCACTGATCAAAAAAGATAAACTCATGCCTTTTGCAGCAACATGAAAGGAGTTGGAAGAGAATACACTAAGTAAAATTAGTCAGAAGGAAAAGATAAATACTGGATGTTGTCACTTATATGTGGAATACAGAGAAACCAAACAAAGGGTCAAAGACAAACTTTAAAACTGAGCCTTGAAAGCTGACCCAAGAACTGAGACATCCAGAGCAGGAGACAGGATAAAAACCAGGGCTGGGGGGAGATGACAATGGAAGGTGACTATGGGTGCTGAGGTGGCGCCCTGCAGTGACTACATTAGAGGGGGGGAGAGCCTATACTTCCAAAACACTAACAAGGATGTAGACCAATGGTACCTCAATTAAAAAACCAATAATAAAAATTATTCCAGCATAAAAATCTTCAGGAAAAACTTCAGAAAAAATAGACAAAAGTTGGCGAGGTAATCTTGACATGACTTTTCAGGTATATTATAACCTATTATTTAATGCATTTTTGTATTTAGTTCTTTTGTCCCCCTTACCTAGAGAACACAACTCGGGGACAACTTATGCTGTTCATCATTCTGTGAGAAAAGCATTACAAAGAAGTCACAAATTCTTTTTTAGAATTTCTTAATAAAGTATCTAAACTACTGAATTAAAAAGGCAATAAAAAAAATCAGAAGCCTACTTACCCTAGCGACCTAGAACCACAGAGAGTTTTCTAAAACCAGAGGGGTAAGGCCAATAACTAACATTACCTAAAATAACCAGAAGAGGGCAGGGGCAGCTCAAATGATAGCTTCTGTAACTTTTGGCAAAGGTTGTTTTTTTAAAAAATAGCTTGGTAATTAATTATTATGTTACCTTATCCTGCTCCACACCAGGCTCTCTGTACACAGTCCATCTCTGCCCATTGTCACTGTACAGAATTCTGTAGGCTGACACATAGTAATTATGCTCCACCATAGTGGAGCCAGTGGTTACAATGCCTGAGGAAGGGACAGTTGCTTTCATTAGTGCTCAGTCTGATCTGTGAAGTTTACTCAGTGTAGAAGCACAAATATTTAAGAGGCAATGTTTAAACATCTTCCCCTATGGCACATCACCATATCTAAATGCAAGGTGTCATCACAACAGTAACTAAACTCTTGGCTTTGTTTCCTTGTAGAGACAGGAGGAATTACGGGTGAACATAGGGAAGAATTATTCTGTTTTGGCAGCTTGTATTCATATTATGATAAAACATATTTCAGCTGAATAAGAATGACTTCTTGGGAATGAACAGATTAAAGATGATTAGTGGCATTATTTTCAGCACCAAAACAAGATGAATCTTTAGCAAAATCATCTAAACTGATCCTAACCAACTATTCTGAACATTTGCCAAGTTACTCTCAATAAATTTATATTCAGCACACATGGAATATTATTTACAGCACTTAAAATAGACTCCTTGAACATAAATTTCCCTTAATGACTGTAAGAGATGGTTATTTCAGATGTCTCAAATCACTTTACTGTAACACTACCTTAAAAGAATCTTACTACAATGAAAAAGCTAGTAAGAATCAAACACCATGCTCTCCTCTGCCATGTTTTATAAAACCATCTTTAGTAAAACCATGTCATTAAATTCGCAGTGACCTGATTTTTGGACTCTAGGGAATGTGGTGAGATAAAACCTGATGAAAATTTTAGTGGTTATGAAGTTTCCAAATATAATTACTATTATAAATTGCTTTAGAAAATTTTATCCTTTAACCTGTTATCTTTTTTTCCTTATTCAAATCTATTTGCAACCACTGATACTCATCAGTGGCAAAAGCAGCCCAAGGAGGTCCAGGTTTTTTCAGCCTGGCCTTTTCTGGCTTCCAGCTGTTCTCCTGCCCCATGTGGTCAGTCCACTCCAGCACAGATGATGCTGTTATCTGAGGATCGGCTATCACCCCAGATTCCATCCCCAGTGTTCCATAACAACCTGAAACAAAATAGAAAATAATTTGATTTCCAGATATGAAATCAAAATCTATATAAACTTGTTCACTGCAAGCTATCATAGAGTCAACACAACCATACTAATAATATACTGTAATAGAGAAATGTCAAAAACCAGGCAAACAATTCTTAGACTGTGTCTGTGTCTTGTCAGGAAATGTATAGATGTGTATTTACAAGCAACACCCGTCAGGTTAATGGCAACACAATACCCTTGCCCGGGGAGATGGTCCTTACCACCTTCTTCAGGTATTTTGCTCAAATGTCACATTCTCCATGAGACCAGAACCCCACCCACCCTGCCTCTCCTCTTCCCTTGCCTTATTTGTCTATGTACCTTTTATATTATAAATAGTACATTCTAAGTAGTAATTTACTTACTCACTCATTACCAGAAAGTAAGCTCCAAGAAAGCAGGATTTTGTTTATTCTGTTCACTGTTGTTTCACTAGCTCAGGACAGTGCCAGACAAATAAGAGGCATATAATTAATGCCTTCTGTTGAATGATTAAATTCTTCAAATTCAAAAAATCACCTTTTTTAGGAAACCTGCTCCATTAATATAAAACCTCCACTTTATTCCAGTCACTACACTAGTAAGCACCTATCTTATGACATAGCGTGACTGTGAGAACCAACAACGTGCAAGAAACAGTTACTAGTGTTCCCACATTGGCATTTTGGAGCAGGGACCTTTCTTCCCTGGAGACTGCTTGAAGCTGGTGGACGGCTCCCGGAGGAGCCAGAGGTGAGCTGGGAAGTTCACCCAAGCCAGGCCCCTTGTGGCCTGCAGTCCAAGCCCAGAGGGGAGCGGCACCCACCGCTGGGGCACACCGGGCGTGTAGGGGAGCGTGTCCCCCGCATCGCCATTTTAGAACAGGGACCTTTCTTCAGTAGAGACTTTTTGAAACCGGCAGAAGGCTCCCAGAGGAGCCAGAGGTGATCTGGGAGGCTTGCCCATGCCAGGCCCTTTCTGGCCTGCAATCCGAGCCCAGAGGGGAGCGACACCCATCACTGGGGCAGACCGGGCGCGCAGGGGCATAGGCATTTTAGAACAGGGAGCTTCTTCAGTAAAGACTGCTTGACACCAGCAGAAGACTCCAAGAGGAGCCAGAGGTGAGTCGGAAAGTTCGCCCAAGATGCCAGCCAGTACCAGCAACACAGTGTCCCAAGGAATATGGCAAATTAGAAAACAGGCAGTAGGGAGTAGAAAAACCACATGCAACCCAGCAACTTCTCAGGAAAAAGGCACCCCACAAAAAGAAAACCACCTACCAGATACAACAACAGTAACTTGGAAGAACTTGTGAGCCTTCCAGAGAGAATTTAAAATTGCCGTCATTAAAAAACTGACAGAAGTCATAAAGGAAAACAATGATAAGGGAAAAATAATCAACGATCAGAAGAATGAAATTGAGTCCCTAAAGAGGGAAGTAAAAGAAATGCAGGAGATCAAAGAAGTAATGGAGGTGCTAAAGAACTCTGGGAAAAGCAATGAAAGCAGAATAGATGAAATGGAAGAACGAATAAGTACTCTTGAAAACACAGAAATAAAAAAAACTAAAACAGAAAAGGAAAGAGAAGCATGAAGGAAAAAGACCAAAGAAAGACTTCGGGAACTATCTGACTCCATGAGTAAAGGAAATATAAGAGTTATAGGAATCCCAGAAGGAGAGGAGAGAGATGTAGGAACAGAGAAAATATTCAAGGAAATAACTGAAGAGAACTTCCCAAATGTGAAGAAGGAGCTGAAAATTGATATACAAGAAGCAAGAAGAATACCAAACTTCCATGATGAAAGGAAAAATACAGCAAGACACATAATAGTAAAGCTCCCAAGGATCCAAGACAAGGAAAAAACAATGAAGCTGACAAGAGGGAAGAAACAGATAACATTCAAAGGAAAACCAATCAGACTGACATCAGACTTCTCCGAAGAAACACTACGGGCAAGGAGAGAGTGGAGGGACATAGTCAACAGACTCCAAGAAAACAGATGCCAACCAAGAATACTCTATCCCGCAAAGCTCTCCTTCCTCTATGAAGAAAGAATAAACCTTCCCAGACAATCAAAAACTCTGGAATTTCATCACGACTAAACCCCCACTCCAAAAAAATACTACAGGGAGTCCTAAAGCCAGAACCTCAGAGGGACGAATAACAACGAAAGAAGGCCAAAAAAAAAAAGTTATTAAAAGAATAAATAAATAAAATCAAAGGAAAGATAAACACAATGGCAAATACAGACGCTAACATATCAATATTAACTCTAAATGTAAATGGACTAAAAACTCTTCAATAAAAAGACACAGAGTCGCAGGCTGGATTAAGAAACAAAACCCAAACTTTTGCTGTCTCCAGGAAACACATTTAGATATAAAAATAGACTCAAAGTTAAAGGATGGAAAACAATCCTACAAGCAAATGGACCAAAAAAGAAAGCAGGAACAGCTGTACTTACATCAGATAAAACAGATTTCAAACTCAAAAAGATAAAAAGAGACCCCAATGGTCACTACACTATGATCAAGGGGACAATATTTCAAGAAGAAATAACACTCATTAACATATACTCTCCAAAGGAAGGAGCACCAAAATATATGAGACAACTATTGGCATCTTTGAAAACAGACATCAGAGAAAACACATATGTAGTAGGAGACTTCAACACACCACTATCAACAATGGATAGATCAACGAGACAAAAAATAAGTAAAGACATTAAAGCTCTAAATAAGGATCTAGAGTGCTTGGGCTTAACAGACATCTATAGAACACTAAACCCCAAAAAAATGGAGTACACATTTTTCTCAAGTACACACGGATCATTCTCCAGGATCGATCACATACTGGGACACAAGACAAACATCAACAGATACACCGGATTGAAATCATACCAACCATCTTTTCTGACCATGAAGGCATCAAACTAGAAATAAACCATAAAAAGAAGGCAAGGAACTCTCCTACCTCATGGAGATTGAAACCCACACTAATGGAAGACCACTGGACTAACGAGGAGATCAAAGAAGAAATTAAAAAATTCTTTGAATTGAATGACAAGGAGGACACTAATATCCTAAATGTATGGGATGCAGCAAAAGCAGTAATAAGAGGAAAATATATAGCAATTGAGGCTCACATCAAAAACCAAGAAAGAACTCAAAGAAACAACCTAATCTCGAAGCTCAAAGATCTAGAAAAAGAACAACGAAAATACCCCAAAACCAGTAGAAGAAAAGAAATAATAAAAACCAAAGCAGAAATAAATGAAATCGAAACTGAAAAAACAATCCAAAAGATCAATGAAACCAAGAGCTGGTTCTTCGAAAAAATCAATAAAATAGACAAACCCCTAGCCAGGCTCACAAAGGAAAAAGGGAGAAAACATAAATAAACAGGATCACAAATGAAAGAGGAGAAATCACAACGGACACAGCAGAAATCAAAAGAATAATCAGTAACTACTATTAACAGTTATATGGAAACAAGTTCAACAATCTAGAGAAGATGGACAAATTCCTACAATTCTACAATCACCCAAAGCTAGATAAAGAAGAAATAGAACACCTAAACAGACCAATTACAAGCAGAGAAATTGAAATGGTAATCAAAAACCTCCCCAAAAACAAAAGCCCGGGACCTGATGGATTTACAAATGAATTCTACCAAACATTCAGAAATGAATTAGTGCCTATCATTCACAAACTCTTCCAAAAGATTGAGAAGGAAGGGATAATACCAAACACGTTCTATGAAGCCAACATTACACTAATACCAAAACCGAACAAGGACAACAAAAGAAAAAGAAAACTACAGGCCAATCTCCATAATGAACACTGATGCAAAACTCCTCAGTAAAATTTTAGCTATCAGAATCCAACAATGTATCCATAAGATAATTCACCACAACCAAGCAGGTTTCATTCCAGGGACACAAGGATGGTTCAACATCCAAAAATCAATCAATGTTATCCAACACATCAACAAAAAGAAATATAAAAACCATATGAAAATATCAATAGATGCTGAGAAAACTTTAAACAAAGTGCAACATCCATTCTTGATAAAAGCCCTTGAAATTCTTGGGATACAAGAAACACATCTCAACATCATAAAGGCCATACATGACAAGCCAACAGCCAGTATCATTCTCAATGGTGAAAAGCTGAAAGCATTTCCATTAAGATCTGGAACAAGACAAGGATGTCCACTCTCACCACTGCTTTTCAATATAATACTGGAAGTCCTAGCCAGAGCAATAAGACAAGAGAAAGACATACAAGGAATCCAAATAGGAAAAGAAGAAGTCAAACTACCACTATTTGCAGACGATATGATAATATACATAGAGAACCCCAAAAACTCCACAGAAAAACTAATTCAACTCATCAATCAGTTCAGTAAAGTGGCAGGATACAAAATCAACACGCAAAAGTCAGTAGCCTTCCTATACACAAACAATAAATCTGGAGAAGAAGAAATGAAAAAACCATCCCTTTTATTATCGAAACAAAAAAAAATCAACTATTTGGTAATAAATCTAACAAAAGAGGTAAAGGACCTATACAAAGAAAACTATAAAACACTTTAAAAAGAAATAGAAGAAGACACAAAGAAATGGAAAGACATCCCCTGTTCATGTATTGGAAGAATAAACATTATTAAAATGTCCATCCTACCAAAAGCAATATACAGATTCAATGCTATTCCAATCAAAATTTCAATGTCATTCTTCAAAGAAATAGAACAATTATTGATGAAATTCATATGGAATCACCAAAAACCCCAGAAAGCCAAAGCTCTCCTGAAAAAAAAAAAAAAAAAACTGAAGGGAATGGAGGCATCACACTCCCAAACTTCAAACTCTACTACAAAGCCATAATCATGAAAACTGCATGGTATTGGAACAAGAACAGACACAGAGACCAATGGAATCGAATAGAAAATCCAGAAATAAACCCACAGATTTATGGTCAACTAATCTTTGACAAAGGAGCAAAGACTATGCATTGGAGCAAAGAAAGTCTGTTCAATAAATGGTGCTGGGAAAACTGGGTCGCTACATGCAAAAGAATGAAGCTTGACCACTACCTCACACCATACACAAAAATCCACTCAAAATGGATTAAAGAACTAGACATAAGACCTGAAACCATAAAATACATAGAAGGAAATATATGTGAAACACTACGTGATATGCACATCAAAGACATCTTTACAGACACTTCACCCAAAGCAGTGATAGTGAAGGCAAAGATAAACAGCTGGGACTACATCAAATTAAAGAGCTTCTGCACAGCAAAAGAGACAATAACAAAAGCTAAGAGAAACCCCACCGACTGGGAGAACATTTTTGCACACAACACTAACAGTAAAGGACTGATCACAAAAATCTGCAAAGAGCTGATGAGACTCAACAACAGCAAAGAAAATAATCCTGTCAAAAAATGGGCAGAAGAGCTAAAAAGAAACTTCTCTGAAGAGGAAATGCAAATGGCCAACAGACATATGAAAAAATGTTCAACATCACTTGTCATCAGGGAAATGCAAATCAAAACTACCATGAGATACCATCTTATACCAGTTAGAATGGCACATATTAAAAAAACTAGCAACAACAAATGTTGGCGAGGGTGTGGAGAAAAAGGAACTCTCCTGCACTGTTGGTGGGAGTGCAAACTGGTCCAACCACTATGGAGAGCTGTGTGGAGATTTCTTGACCTACTAAACATAGAGCTTCCATATGATCCAGCAATTCCACTCCTAGGTATTTACCCAAAGGACACAGAAACATCAATTCCAAAGAGCACCTGCACCCCTATGTTTATAGCAGCACTGTTTACAATAGTTAAGCTTTGGAAACAACCCAAATGCCCAAAAATAGATGACTGAATCAAGAAGATGTGGTACATATACACCATGGAATATTACTCAGCATTCAAAAAAGCTAAACACATGCAATTTGCAGCAACATGGATGGCGCTGGAAGGGATCATGTTCAGCGAAATAAGCCAGAAAGAAAAAGAAAAATACCAGATGGTCTCACTCATAGCAGGAATCTAGAAAACCTAAATAAGGGACCAGGAAAACGAATAACTATAAGAAAGTGAAAATCAAAATCAACAAACAACTATGAACCAGAGACACTCTATGGGGGGTGAGGACGGGGAGGGGAGGGATTGGGGTCAAAATAAGGGGGTTGCAATTGTATGGGGAATAAAAAATAAAATTAAAAAAAAAAGAAACAGTTACTAGCAATATCTGACACATCGTTTAAAAAAATGAGCTATTTTACGAATAAAATTAGTTATAATGTCCACGAGAGGCTTACCACTTGTCTTAAATGTAAAAAGACTTGTAGATAAGTGTCCCCTGAAAAAGAGAAAGGCTTTGTTGGTGACACATAACACATGACTTCCCTACATCTCTTTTATTTTGTTGTATAAAGAACAAAGAATATCAATGGTTAATATCAAGTGGTTGGAAAAGAAGTGTAATTTCTAAGCAGAATGAATTTCTTTAACCAGCATAAAGAACTTTCTCTGAAAATATTGTTTCCAGCTTCATACATGATTACTCAAGTGTATCAATATAACCTTTATATATGTATGTATTTCATTTCTTTTTCATGCCTGAAATTTTTTTTTGTGGCAACTGTTTTCAGTGAAAGCACATTGAAAGATGTAACTCTCAGAGAATGAGGCTCAAAGTTTCCTGGGGTAAACAGAAAAACAGATGATTGCTAACAGAGATCGAATCTGTAGCAGGAAATCAGTATGCCTAAGTTTCAGTATTACAATGCAGCACTGCATTTCACAGTGCTCGGCAGAAGGAGTGCCCTGGGAAAAATGGAAGGGTGTGACAGCAGTCTCAGAACTCTAAGGAAAAATCACCAGAGTATACTCCTGCTTTTAGCACAACATTCAAATTATTACAAGAGGATGCAACTTTTCCTTATTTTTATGAAAGAATTCATGAAAAAAAATCAAGGATCTATATAAAGATCACCTAGAAGAAACAAAAAAACCAAAAGTAGCTGACACTATGCCAGCGACAGGCAAATGCCTGCACATGCGCAGTCTATTTTGTATAGTCAGTGAGCAAAGAATGGTTTTCACATGGCTAAGGAGTTGTAAATCAAACAAAGAACTGCAGAAATATATGACCTATAAAGTCTAAAATATTTACTCTCTGCTCTTCTACAGAAATGTTTCCTAACTCCTGCTCTATACTGTCCTGTCTTGCTTTCTGAATGAAAACTGGCCTAGGGATGATCTCTGAAGAGAAGTCAGTTTCAGTTAGGCTTAGAACTGTTTGCAGGTCTGAGCATATCTAAGAGGGAATGTTTATAAAAATAGATGACAAACACCGCATTTCCATGTAATGTTTCAACTTTTCTTGATTTTGATGCCTAATCTGCATTTCTTAAAGTAGTAGAACACTGTAGAGAGCATGAAAATACATTTCAAAAATATCTTCTGGACGTCACTGGAATACATAATAAATCTCTCTTAAAGTATGTAACTTCAAGTACTTCATTTATCCTTAATTCATCCTGGCTATAGAGTAGTTACGCCTTCTGAGCTTTAAAATGAAGAATTTATCAATGGACTTCTCAAACTCTACTCCACATTTTCAACACTTAAAGAAGAAGAATCAAATCATGTTTCCAAGTGGCTACATTTTTGATGGAAAACAACCAAAGTAGTACACAACCTTGCCTGTATTTCTCAATACACTCAGACACAGAGCACATACACAAAGTGCTATTTTATTAACACCACTACCAGTGATACTGCCGAGGTTTAACTAGTCCCTAGCCCACCCTTACCTGGCATGTTTATGAGAAACAGCACAGATACTTACACCACAGATGTGACGTTGTTAGCCAAGGAACTTTCATAGTATGGGATACCTTTACTAATTACAACACTGATCTGGCCACCCAAAATGTTTGATATGACTCCTGCATGTATGCCAGCCATGCACAATGGTGAGGACTTGAAGGGAAAAAGGAAAGATGAGTTCATTTTCTTTTGACAGTTTACAGACAATACACACTTCCTCAAGAAATTAGTTGATCTGAAGGGCTTTCTAAATAAACATGGGGTGCATTACAGATGCCGTAATAGGACAGTTTAGCAGAAGAAAAATAATATTACAGGTCACCAAAAAGAAACACTTCTCTAGACAATAAAAATCAAGATCAAGATAAACAATAAGTAAACATCTACCTTGCATGGAGTTAAAAAAACAAAAAACAAACAAAAAAAAACTATATCACAACTTTGTTCAACTTACATCTCTATATCCATGAGGGATTGTTCCAGATATCTCAATAAAGGGAAGCAGACAACCAGCTGGGCAGTACTTACTGCAAAATGAAAATAAGTTAAAGAGTACATAGTGCTGTACTTTCTAGAGAAAAAAAATAAATATATCACATTATCCATTTTTTTAGTTCAATTAAAAAAACACAACCTCACTACCCTGAGAGAACCACTAGCCAAAAAAAGACCTTTCAATCTTTCTTTCATCCATCTGTACACAAAGTGTATCTACCCACGTATGTACAAATTATCTCATATTTGACACACTGCTTTATTTTACTTCATAATGAATGGTAGATATCTTTCTATTTTAAGATCTATTCATCATTTTTGTAGATAAACCTTTATTTTTACCAACCTCTGTTGATCAAAATTTTTTTATAAATTGTCTGGTATGCATTCACTCACTCACTCATGCATTATCCACTCAATACATTTACTTGAAAGGACACTGTCCTCACTAATACTTAATCAGATTATGATTATATTATGAAAAAAAGGCACAGACATAACTGAGATGAATGTGATAAAAGATGTTCGGTACATTTATTAAGTGCTGGACAGCAAATAATCCACATAAGAGCCACTATTATTCTGATTTTATAGATAAAGAAGCTGAGAAACTGGGTGTCCCAGTCACACAGCTTTAAGTGGCAGATCAGCTTGAGAGTCTGCATTTCCAGACAAAGCTCTGCACTGCCTTGGCCAGGGATGGGACTCTGGGGAAGGGAAGCTCAGCAGAGAAGTAATGGAGTCACTGGAGAAAATGGATGGAAATGTACTCCAGTCAGAAGGAAGAGGATGCCCATGAGTCAGGCTGGCCTTTCTGTATCTGGGACTGAGGATGCCCAGCACAGGCAGAATGCAATTAGCAAAAATAACATTAAGTCTCAGAGAAGGCCGGAGATCATGCAGGGGTCTTGTGGGAAAAGGGGAGGAGTCTGGAATATAATTATAAGCAGAAAGGAGAAGTCAATAAAGGATTCCGACAACTTACATACAAGATCTGATTCACGTTTTTAAAAATGAATATTCTGGCTCCTGGGAAGAAAAGAGGTTGTAAGGAACCATGAGTAGAGGGGTGAGACACGGTTAGGTAATAGTGCAGTAGTCCATGGGAGTGGTAACAGCAGCGCATTTGGGTGGTGATAATGGAGCCGGAAAGTGGAGGGCACAAGACATAAAACACATGTGTCTGCCAGCGCTGCGGCTGCTCACCAGGAACCTCCATGAGTGCTAAAGACACATACATTCCACACAGAGAGACCTTTCTTGAAGACACACTAGAGTTTCTTTGGGGAGTGGTAGCAAGCTTGGGCTGGGTGGTGGGGTTAGTGAAATAGATCTTAGAAGATGAGAATGATTTTGCCAAGCAGGGAATACAGTGATTCCAGGTGAATGCTCTAAGAGCTCAGATAATAATCCAGAGCTGTTTCAACACAAGTAATTAGGGTAAGATTAGAAAAATGGCCCAAAGACAACTTGTGAAACATGTTGAAAGCTAGGCTAAAGGATCTGGATGACTTTTTGTCATAATAAAGAGGTTCTGAAGATCTTTTAAGTAGGGAAATGATCAGATATATAGATTAGGAAATGACCTGGCAGCAATATGAATGGCAGAATAAAGCCAGCAAAGGTTAGAAATGGGTAAGCAATGAGAAGTTAATCCTGCTCTAGGCAAGATAAAAGGGCATAAAGCAGAGAAATAGTAATGGAAATCAAACACCAGAGAATTCTATAATAGCCTAAATCATCTTCCTGTTCTTCTACCTTTATTAACAATTTTGCCAGATTTAAAAGTTAGTTGCTCTTCAAAAGTATATTAAAATTATGTTTTAATATACCCAAAGAGGTGTATTCCTGGGCGTCCTGGTGGCCTAGGGGTTAAGTCTCAATACTACCACCTTGACTGCTCTCCATGGCAGCCTGAGTTAGATCCCCAGGCCAGGGAACTGACCCACATGGCACAACAGACCTCTCCTGTTTCACCTGCTGCTTCCTCAGCAGTGTATTTCAGTGGATCTGCCAGTTGTGCTCCCTACTCTGTCTCTGGTGAATCCTCTTACCACCCCCCCACCCACCTCCAGCCTATACACGCAAAAATAAATATAATCTTAAAAAAAAAAACAAAAAACAAAGAGATGCATTCTATACCTCTGAATCATACTGTGTTGTAAACCAATGCTGTCTCAAAAAAAAATTTTTTTTAAATTATGTTTTCATTGTGGAGAAGATCCAAATGCAACAACTAAATAAAAATTCAAACGTGGTAATTCAATGGTTTTAAATATGCTGATTTATTGAAGTCTTAAAACAATGCTATGTATATTAATCTTAAGTGTGTAAGGAGGAAATAACATTTAAGGAAAGTCACAACTATGGTCATACCTGAACTCGGGTTCCAAAAAATTTGCTGCAGTGTCCAAACAAGTAATTAAATCTAAAAACAAAAACAAAAACAAAACTACTCAATAATATATAAAACAAAACTACTCAATAATATAAAACTACTCAATAATATATAAAATTTTTAAAAAAATTTATTTTCCTTGTTGAAACACCAACTATTTCCAAATCCCAAGACTTTTTTATATGGATTATAGTTCTACCCTTTCCCCCCTCATTCTACTGTCAACGCAGTTGTAAGTATGAGCCCTATAATACAAAGGCCCTATTTCTCTCTGCTCAATGTCCTTAGCTCCAAGACCTTGTGGAGAATACGGTTTCTGACTGACTTCATCTTACTTTTCTTCCCCTTATTCACTCTGAACTTAAACATGCTGTCATCTGCCACCTCGCAGTCTTTGTGATTCCCTCCACCTGTCTTAGTTGTCCACATACCTCATACCTCATACTCCCTTACCTATTTTAGTTTTTTTATTCCAATGCCAACATCTCCATAGGGTCTACCCAGACTACTATGTTTAAAATTGCAACCCCTTAACTTCCTAATTACCTTCTTTTATTTGTCTAACATATCATCTACTAACACTACGTATTTCTTATTCATAATTTATTTTCTTACCCCACTGCCTACTGGCGGTATTTTCTACATGCAGTGCTTTTTAATCTTCTTGATTTCTGCTCTGTATCTAGTGCCTAGAAAAACACCTGGTCATCCAGACTTAAATATTTGCTGACTGAAGAAGAAATGATCACAAGAACTGCCAATCCTTGCTTTATCTTTCATTAGGCTTTATTTCATCTATCAAAGCAAATGTACCGCATATAAAAAGACACTTATCTACTTTGGGGAAAGGCTCTCAAAGACAGCTTAAAGTTTCTTAATGCTCTGCCTAATTGATGTTGTTTGTTTTGTGCAGCTGTAAAGGTCAAAGTCCATAATGTGACTTTCCCTATCTTTATTTAATCTTCTTGGTTCTCCTTGTAGCTATCTATTTTGAATTCTTACTTTCTTCCAAGGGAGCACTTCAAACTCTCATGGAATTTGAGAGCAAGGTAAAGTAAATTGCACACATTTGCATGGCATAATCTGCAGTTTTAGTCCTGTAGTGGTTTTTAGCACTGCATGGACCTATAACCAAAGCTCTATTTTGATCAAGTATAGGCATATTTGACCAGCTCTCTGGCATGTGGCTTGAAGGTAATGGGGCTAGCTGGCAGTTTCTTGTGGTTTGAATTCCATGTTGGACCACACAGGTGCCTTTTCATCCCCGGCTATTAGTCTTAGAAGTTCAACTTTTAATTTTAGAGGCTGGAAACACCTTTGATGGCAAAGGAAAGTGGAAAATCAATTCTTATTAATGCTGTATAAAGACTGCTATGAATAAGTGCAGCTCAGTAATTCAGTTTGTCTGCTTTTCCTAGTCAACCATGCAGTAAGCCCTATCCATTGGTTTCCTTGTGTATTACATGACAAAGGAGACGTTGGCTCTAAAAAACTGCTACTCAACATCTTGTCCATGGACAGAACTAGCAGCAGCCATATCTGCTGGGAACTTATTGGAAATTCAAATTCCTGACCACCATCTGGATGTACAGGGAATATGGTGATGGTTCACAGGTGGTAACTATGGAGACTACAATGATGTAAGAAAAAAATTAACACCAACCAAAATAAATAAATAAATATGAAAAACAGCAGCAAAAGAATATATCCACCAGAGAGCACAAGACCGCACACACACCTGCAGTCTCTTCACCTCATTTCTAACATATTAAAATGAAATACAGGGGCCTCCCTGGTGGCGCAGGGAGTTAAGCATCACACTATGAAGCAATCCTTAGCCTCTGCAGTACAAGTTTGATCTCCGGCCAGCCAGGGAGCAACCTACATGGCGCAGCAGACCTCTCCTGGCTCTCCCGCTGCTCCCCTCAGCAATGTGCTTCAGTCAATCTGCCTGTTCTGTTCCCCACTGTCTCTGGTGAATCCTCTCACCCCCTGCATCTCTGGCCTATACCCCAACTCTTGCATGCATAAATGAATAAAATCTTTAAGAAAAAAACTGAAATACATAAAAAAAGCACTAAAATCATCATGGTGCTTCCTAGGTTATCTGTCAGCTTGGGAGGAATATAATGGCATAAGTTGATTTGTCTCTGGGTTTAAGGTGATCTTAAACAGATTATAAAAAGTTTATGAAAACTTTTTCTCTGCAAAACTGGTAACATTTTGCTCATTGGTACCTCTGTTCTACAAATTAACATGAAGGTACGGATATTTTCTGCATGTGTACTATATTGTGGGCAAACACTACATATATTCATTTGTATGTAAATAAAGACAAGTCCAAAGTCATGCATATATTGAGACCTCATTAATAAAATCTTACAAAATAGTTGCCAGATACAACAATAACAGAGATTAGGAACACAATAGGAAAAGTAAAAATAGAAACCTGGCTAAGTGCTGTACTAAGGACAGAAGGAATTCTGTAAAACTGCTGTACAACTAAGGTAGCAAACAACCTAAGGAATTCACGCTCTATTTTCAAAACCAAAACATTCCATGCAGGAAAAAAACAACTATCAGAAATCTGGACTCTATTAGCAAAGAGTTCTGTATTCTGCTTATGTTTCATTTACAAGTTGATATATTCTGACATAAGGTTGAAGAAATGGAAAATATTTGCAAAAAGTGCGGGTAAAGAATGTGACAATGAGAAAAATTTTATACTATTGGTGTTAATTCTAAAAAAAATTTGACATAGAGCAACAATAAGCCTATCAAATGGGACTATTTCCCAGACCCAGCTGTTCACAAGTCTTCAGCATTCTGTTAGAGTCTAAGGGGTCAGCGAGCAATGAGTGAACTAGTATTTATGAGTTCAATTAGGGAGTATGTTAATATCTACACTGGATAAGTTTATTTCACATGAAATTTTAAACTACTGTTTTTCTCCAAATAAATGAAGGCAAACTTTAGACTGACCAATGACCACTACAATGTTCTGGATTAGTGAAATCTAGAGCAATAAGCTTTATCATCTTTTAGATGATGATTTCATGTTTTACAAAAGGAATATCATTTTTCAGTCATCACCCCCCCCCCCCAAGAATGGGCCTTGAAATAATTGAAATGTTTTTCTCTCTCAAATTTCATTAGTCATTTACACAACTGTATCACTTGGGGGTACATTTTACTGCCGTATGTGCACATGTTTCAGTCACCCTCCACCAAAGTTCCTATGCAGATGACCTACCCTCTTTCGTCTCCTAGAAACTTTCAATGTAAATGGAGATATGCATTCTGACTTCAATGTCTATAGCCAAAATAACAAAAATCATTGTCCAGAAACATCCAAGAAATATTGAGCTTTTCCTAGAAATTGCCAATGCTAAACAGATTCCAAACAGGGAATTTAAATTTAGATCACTTACCTATATATTTATTTTGTTTTTCAAGTCTAGTGGTAAATGCTGTTTTATGTTTTAGAATGAAAATGTCAGCAGCAGCCTTTATTATTATACTAGGTTAAATGGTCTGAGTTACTGAATTTGGACCTCTGAATGTCTGGTTCTGCCGCTCATTAAAACCAGGGATGAAGAGTTCCTCTTGTGGGACTTCTAAACAGTAGTTGCTAATATGACATCTAGGGTGTCTCTAGGGTCCACATACATCTTCAATTTTCAAATGAAAATTTCAGATTCTGAGTTTGCAGTTGGAAACTGAAGAACTTTTACCAAGTCCTCTCATAATTACTGGAAGTGTTGATTATTAATATCTGTCTTTTCCTGCTACCTAATGGGGAAGTGGGAAAAACTCTGCTTTCATTGGTAGACACAACTTTCAAAAATGAGATTCATAGGTGAAAATTAAAGAGAGCTAAGTGGAAACAGAAAAGACTGGAAATCGCTGTTCAAATATCATTAAACGTAACAGAGGAATAAAACAATAAAAATCATAAAAACTAGACACAAAAGTGAAGTGGTAAACAGGCACAGCGCCCCAGGCACACTAGGCATTTCAGCTTTACACAAAAGGGCTTTATTGCATCCAACTTCTCTTAGGACAACTTAAACTTACAGAGGATGAATCCCAATTCTTAAAATGTTTCCTTGTCGTGAATAAATGAGGCTCTAAAGTCTTTTAAAAGAATTAAATTAGAACATGGCCTAATCCTGAAGTTACATTTATAACAAGACCTCTTAATTCAATCATATCTGCTCCAGTCTCGTCTAATAGCCTCTTAACAGGCCTGCCTACATTTATTCTTGCCTCTTGTATGAACTCTTCATGGAGCAGGGAAGGTCTTGAAAACAAATCCAGTCATACCACTACTTGCTTTAACAGTTTCTGTGTACTCCTAGGAAAAGCTCTTACACTTACAGTTACGTAACACCCTAGATATGTCACCTACTCACCACACTCACCCCTCCCCAGTTATGTTGGCTTCTGTTCTCCTTCCCCCAAACAGCTCCCCACAGTAAGCCCCTTGCACATAATATTCTCTTTTCTAGAATGTTCTTTGTCTGCCTAAAACCTTAACCAAACCTTCGGTTCTCCGCTTAAAAGTGACTTCCTTAGGGGCCTTCCCCGGTGGCACAGTGGTTGAGCACTGGGCTGCGAAGATGCCCACAGTCTCTGCAGCGCTGGTTCGATCCCCGGCCACCAGCGAGGGTCCCACATGGCACACAGACCTCTCCTGCCGCATCCACTGCTCCCTCAGCAGTGTATTTTGTAGGTCTGCCTGTTCTGTTCCCCGCCCTAGCTATGGTGAATTCTCTCGCCCTCCTGCGCTTCTGACTATACCCACTGCTTGTATAAATAAATAAATAAATCTTTAAAAAACAAAAAAGTGACTTCCTCAGGAGAGCTTTGATTATCAGTCTTCTACTACCCATACTCCTCTGGTCTCCTATCAGTTGAACATTTCTCTAGCCATACTTAGTGTAATTACAATTAAGTAATCATGTATTTAATGCCTTTTTCCAATCCTGTACTGTAAGCCCCACAAAGGTGTGATTGTGTCTTATTTACTGCTGTTTTTGTGGTGTCTGGTACACAACAGGAAATGAGGCACTCACTGAAGGGAATGTAGTTTTGCAACAGGATCTTACACAAAGTAATGAAAATCTATCTTACACAAAAACTACAACTCCATCAACAATACATATGACATTAACAAGTCTTTGTGAGAGCTGAACAAAGAGGCTGAAGCAAGATTTTTCACAATCTTTTCATTTCCAAATATCTTAAACTTTCAACTAGGTTGCTAAGCTGGGCCACATGTAGTAATGTTCCTTGAAAATATTCATGGAATTCAGTATGGCAGTTAAGTTTCCAGGATGGAAACAAACTGAGACTCGCAACCAAAGCCAATCAGCCTTCAAATGAATGAGTCATTACAAGAAATTGTGACTGAAAGGCCGGCCACCCAAGAAGTAGTAAAAAGAAATCCAACCAGTGTTCTCCTGAATTTAGCCAATTCACTCCACTTCAAATAAAACAAATGCTTGAGGGGCATACAAAAAAACTAAGTAAAAACTCAGAGGAGAGCTGTGAAATAATGATCTCCCAAGACAACCATGACTATTGAAAGTGTTACTACAAAGAAGTTCCAGATATGGTGGCTATTTTAAAGACCTTCGAAACTACAATTCATCTAAGCTAGTAACACAGCTACCTGAAATTTGACATAAGTCTACAACATACTGACTCTTACCTGAGATCACTGTCAATTCCTTAGAAACTTTATGCAGGATATTCAGGTGTCTATGTAGCAAAGTCCATTATTTATTTATTTATTTTTAAAATAAATTTTTTTTTTTTTTAAGATTTATTTACTTATTTATACAAGTACTGGGTACAGTCAGAAGCGCGGGAGGGTGAGAGAATTCACCAGAGCCAGAGCAGGGAGCAGAGCAGGCAGAAGGACCGAAGTACACTGCTGAGGGGAGCAGCGGGCGGCAGGAGAGGTCTGAGCGCCATGTGGGACCCTCCTCTGGTGGCCGGGGAGCAGCCGGGGATCGAACCCGAGCTGCAGAGGCTGCAGGCAGCTTCGCAACCCAGCACTCAACCGCTGCGCCACTGGGGAGGCCCAAAGTCCATAATTTAAATATCCAATGTAAGAACCTTCTATCACAAGAGAGGATACTTATTTGTGAGAAAACTTCAACTTAATAACAAGAAAGGGAAAAACATGAGGCAAAATAATTTAACCTGTTATTGTGACCAAGAAATTTGAGAATAATAATTTTTCCCCCTAGTCTCTCACCTACCAACCTAAGACTTTTAGGAAAAAAAAAACAAAACAGAATGGAAATTGACCTCAGCTTATTCTGTGTTTCCTACTCTTTTGATGGCAAGGGGAAAATGAGTATATGTGCATGTGGACAGTGGTTAAGTGGAGAAAACTACCATTTCCTTTGTGCCTACAGGCACCATATGTGTATTATTTTAGTCTCACAACTAACCCATTTATAATGAGGATCACAGAAGTGAAATGGTAGCTTTGGATCTAGGGATACATAGTACCACTTACCACACTACCTTAGCTTTCTTGGGTTTGTCAAAAATATTATTCATTTACCATGATGTTTCCAGTTCTTTTCCTTCCGTTATTCCATCCAAATGTATTTTCTTTCTTATTCTAAGGGATTTACTAGTCCTAACACACTGGCTAGGGAACACTATTTCACAGCTTAGAAATTAAGGGCAGACTCCTCTCACAGAATAGCTCTCTCCTTTATCACATTTTCATGCAATTTTTAAATAGGACATACAGTGCTTATCCCAAATCCACTGCAGTTGAGAATGAACAGATTGTGTCACCCTCAGTCACTACCAGTGCCCAACATTCTCATATCCAAGAAGTTCTTGACCGTCTTTTTCTCCTTTGTACTACGTAAAGTAAAATAAAATTTTAATTTCAAATGCTCAACTTGGTTTGAAATCATTGTGTAATATCAAAATAACTACCTGTTTTCTAATTGAGATGACTGTTTTGCCATATCCTTGTACTAGCAACTTGTCATACATTTTCTACCCCTAATGGCAGAGAGGAATGAATACCAGACCATGTGAAAAGTTTCTTCAAGACTTGCACTGCATTCTATCCTAGAGATTCAGCTAAATTTTGGATTCTATTATACTTATTAGCTTTGCTTCAAAATTTTCCCCTTCAGATTCTAAACATCAACAATCTAGAAAATATCTTTTAAAGAGCAATCTCCAGGTTACTTACAGCAGTATGAAACTTTTTTATGAAGAATGGTGATATGATCTTTAACACAGTACTATGAAATGGTAAGCTCTATACAATAAAGTTTTAAATTGATATGAAACATTTAAGTGGCTGACATTATTTCTAAAAATTATTTGTTTCAACCTTACAAAAGTGAAAAATTAATAGTTCCTTTACTATAAAAAGGGAAGTATACGGACTTGATATAAACATTAATATACATCTAATTTAGGGATCCGAAACTGATCTAAATTTATTTTTCAAATTTATGCATGTGTTATTACAAGGATATGGCAAAAAAGTCTTTCTAATCAAAGGAACATTTCATTTTTGTTTTTAAAACTATGTGGAAGCCATGGTATAAAGTGAAAATTACCTTGTTTATCTATAACCGAGTATGAAGCCAAAAATCCTCGTCCAGAAATATGGATTCCACTCATGAACAGCACTGTAATTTCATTGCTTTTTGATTCAATTGAATGGTTCATTTGTAACCCCAGACCACAGTATTTCCCTAGGAATGAAAGAAAAGCAAGTATTTGGCATGATTCTCGAAGTCAATAGTATTTACAATGCAGATAACAAAATCAGAATACTACACAAACTGGACAATTAGTATAAAATGTAACTAGGTTTAACTGCTAAAAATCACATTATACTGGAGAAAAAAAAGTGTCAAGTAATACTTGTTCAAATAACTTAAAAAATATAGTCCAGATATATATAACCTTATAAAGATTTGATATAAACAAATGAGAGGTACATTTATTCTTTAAAAATAGTACCAAGGAATTCTGAAAAAATTTTAAAAAATTCACGCAGGAAGGTGGCTAACAATTAAATCAATAGTTATTAAGTAGTCTAATTAATATGTTTCCTCAGGGTACCCCTTGATTCCTTATATCAGCACACTACTCAAACCTTTTTCAGTTCTCAAGAACTTCCAAGAACAGCTGGACTTCTAGTCAGTCCCTTCGGGTAATTATATCCAGTCCTACAACTGTAACTGTGATCTGACAACTCACGTTTATGCTTCCTCTCACAGCTTTTTCCTTGAATTTCAGATGCATATCTCCAAATGTCTACTCAAATATATGTCCCTCAGAACAGATAAAACTTTCATAAGATAAAAGGGAAGGGAAAAAATCAAAATATCAAAAATAAATAAAAATGTTTTCTTATTGGTGGTAAACTATGCAACAGATTCTAACATAAGGAGTTCCAAAAATGTGTTAAGCTTCAGCCAACCTCACTTGAGTAATAGTAATGTACTTCCTGGATACCATTTTTGAGTTCTATCTATGATCTTGGGAGTAGAAAATCCTAAGAAACCAACAACAAAAAATGCACCAGAATTAGAAGGGAGCTTAGCTCTATCACAGGATCAACATACAAAAACCAATTGTGCTTTCTTTCAAAATCTAGCAACAATCTGAAATGAAATTTTCTAACTTCCCGTAATAGCATAAAAAGATTAAGATATGCAGATACATTTTTTAAAAGTAACTCAAAACTAGTATACTTAAAATTATAAAACGCTGCTGAGAAAAACTGAAGAACCAAACAAATCGTGGACTGGAAGGCTCCATAGTAAGATGGCAAGTCTCCCCAAACTGATCTGATTCAACCAATCCTTATCGAAAGCCTATTTTTTGTTTTTAAGAGAATTTAACAAGTTGGGTCTAAATGTATACAGAAATACAAAGGACATATAAATGAAAAGCCAAACAATATTAGAATAGAAGCTGAAAGTCTTATATCACTTTATCATGCCTCTTTCAATACTCATGTCAGCCACACTTTTGGAAGAAGATGAACAGCAACAAATTAAACTCTAGGAAGATACTAAGATAGAAATAGTCTATATTCAAAAGAAGGGAGAGATCCATTTTATTTTAAATATACTAGGGGTGGGATTAACACTGTTATGAAACTTAGGAGGTCTAATTATGTTCGTGACTAAGTGGAAGTTAATTTAACCAAATGAAAGGTGTGCCATGGAACAAAGTCCCTCTTCAGCACTTGTCACTTAGAAGTGGGAAGTTATTTACCAGAGCAAGTGCACATTAACTGTGCACTTCTCATAGGGATATGGAGCTTGCTTAAATTTCATAACTCTTAATTTACAAACTTTTTAAGGAAGTTATTCAGTCCCAGGTATAGAAATATCTCTAACCTTAAAAACAAAGATTAAAATTCTCAAAGGAATTCATCTGTTGGATTTATCTGATTAAGCCCCGGAATATCGAGGCAATGATACAGGTATGTGCTGGGGAGTCAGTGAAGAAACTAAACAGAGCACTGCCCTCAGAAAGCTTAGTATAGTGGGGTAGGGCAAATGTATAATTAAAACCTCTGAAGAAGTCATTACAGTGTCTGAAAAAATTTTAAATACCATCATTAAGTAATATCCATCAGTATAGTTTCTTTACAAAATCAAGCTTCCAGGATCACTGCCTGTGGCTTGTGGGCTAGAGCAAGACAAGCTGTAAAATTTAACTCTCTGCCTTAGAGTGATTTCATGTTCTTTTTCAATGATTGAGATGCCTTGCCACAACGATTTCTCTTATGCTGTGACTAACGATAAGCTGCTGCTTTTGACTGAATTTGACATTGTTTTTAGCTGCTGCAAAGAGTCACTTGTAAAGAAAAATGATAGAAGGGTACGGAACTAACTTCCTATTAAGCAATGAGATGATTAGCTATATATTTAAAAGGACTAGTAGCAGATATTTACTATGTTAAAAGGGATTTAGCAATGTCATTAAATCCTTTTCTTCTAAAAGATAGTGTGGCTAATCTAGGCTTCTCTATAATATTATAAAGTCATTGTATAATTTGATTTTAGGAAAGGTGGCCACTTCAGTGTTATTCTTCATGAATACTTAACAGATCTGGTAGCTGGCACTCTAAAATGAATAAAGACCACATAGGAAAATATACCTTTAAACCCTGACTCCTACTTCATATTGTCATACACAAAAATAAATTCTGGATGGACTGAGGGTAATATGTGTAGAAGGGGAATGCCTTGGGAACATTTAGGGGAATGCCTTGAGAACATCTATGACCAAGAAATACAAAGAAACTTTAAAAGACAACACACAAAGTGGCAATCATAAATGAAAATTAATAACAACATTGAAATTAAGTTAAAAGCAAAAATAACTGTTTATCAAAAGATACCAATGAGGCAGTAAAAAGGAAGACCATGAGAAGAACCCAAAACCAGAATATATAAAGAATTACTACAAATAAGAAAATGGTCACCCAGTAGGAAAAATGCATGAAAGCAAACAAAGATGCTACTGAAATGACTAACAAGTGCATGAAAAGAGCACAATATCATCAGCCAATCAGGGAAATGCAAAGTGCAGCAACGAGGTATCAGTGCATGCACATACACACAAATGTCAAAAATGGAAAATGGAGAATAAAAACTGGAGTTTACCTATATGGATTGGTAAGCATAAACTGGCAGAATCACAAAAGCACCTGGCAATATATACTAAAGCTCAACACACACAGAGGCAGTGACCCAACAATTCCTCTTGTAAATACAGAAATGTGCACTTAAGTTCAGGAAACAGGTAACAGAATATTCACAGCAATTAGTGACTGGATATATGATAGATACGCCTTAGTGTTAGAAATTTAGAGTGTGTCTCTTTTTTCGTTTTTTAAAGATTTATTCAGGCATACAGGAACCAGGGTACAGGCCAGAAGTGCAGGAGGGTGAGAGGATTCACCAGACAGAGCAGGGAACAGAACAGGCAGACTGACTGAAGTACACGGCTGAGGGGAGCATCGGGCGTCAAGAGAGGTCTGCTGCGCTATGTGGGTATCTTGCCGGCTGGCCAGGATCAAACCCACGCTGTAGAGGCTGCGGACGGCTTCACAGAGCTGCACTCAACAGCCTGTGCTACCAGGGGAGGCCCTGTGTCTCATTTTTCTATATGGGGAAAAAGGCTGCAATAAACATCTTTCTAACACCACATCTTCCGTCCTTTGAAACATTTTCTTAGGAGCTATTCTTAATACTCATTTCCAGACTGCTTGTAACCCAAGTGAGCTATACCAGTTAAAACATTCTCAAATTCTAGAGTCAGACCACTTAGGTGTGAATCCTGCTTTTCAATTTACTAGCTGTTTGACTGTTGACAAAAAATTTAACCTCTCTGCCAGTTTTCTCATCAGAAAATGGAGTTATCTACCACGAGTTCCTGTGAAGACTAAATATATTAATTGATAAAAATCTTAAGAATAGTGCATGGCATACAGCCAGCACTGAAGGCATAGTATTTTCATTATTAGCCACAGATGATTCAGCTGAATTAAAAAAAAAAAGTCACCCCTAGTTATCATCATTTAATACATAAGATTATCACTACCACTTTTTTCCAAGTGGTTTGGTGGGAAAGAGAAAAAAATTTTATTTTTTTCTTTTAAAATAGGAAGATATAAGCATATTAGAGAAAAAAAGACAAGCAATACACAGAGAAAATGAAAATACTAATGACATGGAATCATTTATGAAATAAAACCTTGAGGATCTGTTTTTCCTCCTTGTAAATATCACTAGGATATGAGACATAATTTTAAAAGGCACCTTGGATGAAGATAAAAGACAGATTTGTACATCTTCAAGTATAGCTTTGAGCACACATATGCATACTTTTAAATTTCTTCTTCTATAGAATTCATCTTCCTTTAATATCTACCAGGTTTTTAAACATTTAACTTCATTTTTATAGATCCACCTACAACCTCCCACCTCCCCCAAAAAGATTCATTTAAAATGGAAATTTTAAGCAAAACCCAGGAAGAAAAAATAAGAGTGGGAAAAGCTTACAAATAAGCGAAGGTTTTTCTCTTTAATGTTCATTTTTAAATTTCACCTTGGACTAAGTATCAATAATCTCCATAGGCAAAATTAGACTAACAGATGAAAAGATGCCTAAATATTGAGGAAAAAACCAAGTGACAAAATCACCTAAGGAAATATGTGGCTATATGTAGAAAAGAGTAATAACAAGAATTTTATAGCTCAACTCCCATCTTTATAGAGCAATTATGATGTCTCAGACATCAGGAATTAAAGAATAATCAAGAAAAAAGTTTTATTCAAGGCACAATAGAATTTTCTTAGTCTACCACAATCTGCTCTACAAAGAACAGATCTAGAGAGCCAATCTTAGCTCTATTATTAAACACATGTGTGTCAGTGTAGTACCACTCCACTATGTAATTTCAAAAAGATATCCAAACATTCTAGCAATTTTAGAAGTAGTTAGATAAAATCATAACCTATATTTAAATGATATTACACATTACTACCCTTTCTATGAGAACAGGAAATAACTACCAAACAAACAAGTTTTTTAATCATCAGTTTTTCTTTTAAATAAGTTTTTTTCCAACCTCAAACATCTTATAATTTTTAAATGAAGTACTTTTTTTCTTATGTTGTCAATCTTTGGGCAATATATAATTCCTCCCCTCAGGTGTGGTCACCTTAGTTTTCCCATCGCAAAAGCACTCACAGTCCATTATTACAGTCCTTTGTACTCTTTTCTCCCCCTCCCCACCTTGTTTTCACTCAAGATACTTTGTTTGAACTTCAGAATGCCATGAATAAACTTAAAACTTAGAACTTAAAAAATTATATGTAACAATTACATATGATAATACCACCCTTAAAACAATCATTCTTGACAATCACTGAATGCCAATTCCTCTTAAAATATCTGATTATCTTAAAAGATGTCTTTTTGTAGCTGGTTAGCTTGAATGAAAATCTAAACGAGGTCCATACATTCCCTATGGAAGATATATTTCAAAGAACAACAGTTCCTTCTCTTTCTCTTTTTAAATCGCCACATATATACATACATACGTATGAAGATGAGAGAGAAATGTATTATCAAATGTATATACACAAATGTATTTTATCAACTGTAAAGACTATCTTCTTTATTGCCTCTAAACTGGCACAGGCTTGATCAGATTGTGGTTTAGCCTCTCCATTGTAAGATTGCCCAGGTGGCACTACATACACCCTACTACATCGCTGCAGAAGGCATTTACTAAGCAGTTGTCAAGTATTTTCTCTATCATAGGTATATGAGTTCCAGAAAGTTCATCCAAGACCACATATTCATGGCAATTGACACATTTTCAGTACTTTCCCACATATCACCTTACATAGCACATTATTCAATGTTAAGTATCAATACTGCTTTAGTTTTAAAACTCAAGTTAATGATGTACGGTACATGTACATTTATAAGAAAATGTCCTACCTATTTCAATTCTGCTAACTCCAATTCCATTATAAATTCTCAGGTAATTAAAATGACAATCAGAATCTTCACTGTCAAAGCCATCAAAGCTGACATGCGCTCTGTTCTGCAACCATCCCAGGCCGGGTAGGTTCACGTTAGTTCAGGCAGCTTAAAAGAGAACCTTGAACCCTTGGTATCACCCCCACAGGTTTTTTAATAGTACGCAGGGGAAACAAGCAGTGGGGAGACAACAACTTGGGCCCCCCCACGAATCTCTAGGCTTTCTCTGTGGTCTCTTCCTCTAGCAGCATGGCTCCTGCTCTCACAGCCGTTCTGCTGCAGCCATTTGTGCACCGCCACCCTTATAGCCTCAGGCTCAGGTATGCACACTTATGCATGCCCACACCATACTCCACACGTGTCCACAATTAGGCACACGTGGCCCGGGCCCATGCGCCAGAGGGCCTCCTGCATTAGTATGATCAAGGCCATAGGTGATAGCCACAGAGGCTAGCAGCATAAAAAACTGCACTCACACACAGTACAGTCTCCCCCAACTTTACACAGAGATTTCACTCCAAGTGAACAGGTTAAGAGTGGGTTGGGAGAGGACAGAGGTTATCAATCAGCAGCGAGGGAGGCATTCACAGATAAGAGGTCAAAATACAGAGAATAGAAGGATCTTGCTAGAGATGAAGAGAGGTCACAGGATGAACATAGTATGGTGCTGAAAGAACAGGAACTGGGTTCTAATTAGCTATAAAAGACATTTTATACACTCATACAAATAAATAATAGAGAATTCATATTTCCAAATAAAATGACAGAGAATTCTTATTTTATGAATAAGAGTTCTTATTTTATGATGTCAGTTCCCCAAAACGGTCTTACAAATTTTCTTGTTCAAGAGAGATGCTGGTCCCTAAGTCAAATGTTCTCAACTTGACTGCAAAGTATATTTTCCTGGGAAGCTCTTAAATACTGAGAGAAGGGGGCTACCCAATCAATTCTGATGATTCAACTGATTAGGATGAGGACCAGGTATACAATAGTATTTAAAAGTCTTCCAGATGAGTCTAATAAGCAGCCAAATAGCCATACTTGAGAACCACTGCTCTTAGCTAAAATAACAATAGTAGCTTTTTCCTAGGCATATTGTTCATTCTTCATTTTACAAGTTAGGAAACAGAGAGTTTGTGTAACTTGCCCAAAGTCACATAGCAAGCTTACAACAGAGTTAGCACTCAATATCATCAAGTTTGGATCCAAAAACCACACTCAGAGTCAACATGATATACTGCTTCCTAGGCATTAATTTATACTGTATATTTCAGCAGCAAGAAAGTGATCAAAGAAAAAAATGAGATCAATAAATTCCTCCTTCTTAGAAGTACAGTAGCATTTTTTACAAAGTTACCAACACAGGCTTATTAGAAAAGTAAATAAACACACAAGTGTTTTCCCAAAAGAAAATTCAAATTTGAGATTTTCACACATTTTCAGTAATTTCCCACATATCCTATATAGCACAGCTACTAGTCTATGTTCAGTATCAAAAACAATTTTCAATTTAAACTCAGGGTAATGGTGACTATAAGAAAATTTCCTACCTATTTCAGTTCTGCTAACTCCAATTCCATTAAAAATTCTCAGGTAATTAAAGTGACAAGAATCAGAATCTTCAATGTCAAAGTCACCAAATTTGATGCGCACTCTATCTCCCGTCTTTACACGGATCTCCCATTCACAAACGGTGCTGTTTGGATAGGTCTGCGGGTAGTTTATGGACATAAGGGTTCCACTTTCAGGACCTAGCACAGTGTGTCCACATCCATCACCTTTAAAAAAAATTAAAAGAAGATTTAAAATACATCTGACATCAGGTATTTTATATCACCAATACTTTTCACAGAAGGCAAAACTGACAGTTCTATTTATCAAAGCCAGCAGAAGTCATGTTAGTTCAAAATAATTACTACCTTTATAATTTAAAATTTCAAAGAACTTCCAATCTGAATAAAAAGTAGTAAAATGCAATATATTTCTGTGTGTGTACACATGTTAAAATAAATCCAGCCCTGTCTTGCCTGCTGCTCCCCTCAGTAGTGCTTTCGGTCCTTCTGCCTGTTCTGCTCCCCGCTCTGTCTCTGGTGAATCCTCTCACCCTCCCATGCCTCTGGCCTGTACCCCAGCTCTTGTATAAATAAATAAAACAAAATTTAAAAAATGAAATAAATCCAGCCTTTAAAATTCCTATCAATTATTCAAAGTAAACAAACTAAAAATTTCATTATAAGTATATGATCAGCTTCATTGATTTATCTCTCAGACACCAACAGGAAATCAGACACTACCCAGAGATACATCAGACTCCCCAGAAGGGCTCAGTTTCCCAAGAACATTCTCCACCTTAGGTGCCATTTGCAAGCCCAGGCTGTTACCTGTGCTCTGACCAATCAGTTATTGATTGGAAGTTTCCCCTATTCTTTCATCAGACTTGAGGCGCCAGTCACAAGTCCAGCGCAATACCATGTGCTTCTAATCAACTGGCCACAAATCTGAAGTTTCCACAATTTCCTTGTTCAGGTACAATTAATTTGCTAGAATAGCTCACAGAACTCAGGAAACCCATTATTCACCAGATCACCAATTTATTATAAATAATACTAAAGATTTCAAATCAAAAGACAGAAGAAGAAAAACATAGGGTGAAGTCCCAAACAATGGAGTTTCTGTCCTTGCGGAGCGTGGGATTGAGCAAGGTGGCATATGGAAGTGTTCTGGTTCCCCAACTTGGAAGTTCTCCAAAGCCTGCCCTTCTGAGGTTTACATGAAGGCTTCATTATATAGGCTCAAGTGATTAAATCATTGGCCATAGGCAACTGAACTCAATTTCCAGCCATTTTTCTCCCCCAGAGATCTTCGGAAGTCCAACCCTCTATTACAGGGTTGAACCTCCTGGCAAGTAGTCGCTATAGCCTTGGGTGCTTCCCCAAAAGTCAGTTTGTTAATGTCTCATTAACACAATGAGACATCATTATCATTCAACACTTGGGTAGACTGATGGTTTTGGGAGCTGTGAGATAAAACATGGATGAAGACCAAATACATATAAAAATTATGTTTTAGTCATTGAATGATCAACTGTATATTTTTTTTTTTAAAAACACATGACGAAGAGTCTTTACTTTTAAATGACTGAGTACACCAAGTAATAACATGTAACAAGTTCTTGAATTCTATCTTCTAGTAATTTTGATTAAGAGAAACTAAAAGCAGATAAAACAATTATACTAGTTATTCATTGTTCTAAGCCTTAGCCAGAAAGGACTACGGTAAGGCTTGGTGCTGCTTCACATAGGTTACAAATAACTATTTACTACTTTTTCATAGATAAAGCCCCTGACCTTCAAGAAAGCATTAGGGAAAATAATATTTAATCCCTTTCTTTCTTTAAAAAAAATAACAAAACTTCTTTTTAACTACATCTAAGAAGGAAAAAGTCAGTTTTGATATATATGTTGCTTGAGTTAATAGCATAGGAAAACAGACAATGCCTATCCATTAAATTTCTAAAAAATATGAGGTAAAAAGATGAAATCTTTGGATAAGCTCTAAATCTGTACAAAGAAGCTAGATTTGCTGTTCCTCAAAAAGTGAAGGGACAGACTATATAATATATGGAAATAATTTAATGCCTTTACAGAAGAATATAACTCAAGCCTTGCTAGAGCTTCATATTCCAGGATCTAAAATGGCATCTAAAATGCCAATCCATGGAACAGGCACTTCTTTCTTCTCCCTTATCCATTTATGCGATAGTTTTGATGGATTTCTGGCTTGATATCACAAAGGCCAAAAGGTTATCTAGAACTTCATCCCTGTTTTGCTGGAAGTAGGCCTGGAGGATGGTCATCTTCTCCTGAGTCTCCTTCTCCACTTCAGTGCTGCAAGCTGCCCAGAGCCGCAGCTTCCTTGGCCTTGAATTCCTTCTCCCTCTGCAGGCGATACTGTTCAATCTCGGCCTGAGCTTCTTTGGCCTGCTTCTTTGGCCTGCTCCGGTTCTTTCGTTTGCCAGCCTCGGACACCTTCTTGGCGGCGGCGACTGTGAGGCCAAGGCAAGCGGCCTCTCAACTGTATATTTCTTATTAATCACAACCACAACTGGTATAAGTGGCAGGCACAGAGGCAGTCTGTTTTCCATATACCATTTAACTGAAATGCTTTTTTATTGGAAAAGGCATTCTTTTTTGACAGTATTAAGCAATATTTAATGAAATTTAATTTTACATTCTACTAATATTTGACTTTTTAAAAAATATTTGACTTTTTAGTAGTCTCTCTCCAAAAGCCTGATTTTCCTCTAAAAAATGAGAAAAAAAAAATGTGTTTAATGACTTATTAAAGATTAGGAAAAATGATCTTCATATTCTGGTAGCAGCATTATTTGCTCCAGAAATGACTTCAGCAACTGGATATGCAAATGGGTAATGCAGCATTGCTCGTAAAAATTAAATATTTGCAACCATCACTTTATCATAAAATGTGTTACTAAATACCTAGAAGGAGAAGTGTAATGTTAAATGTTTCTAGCTGCTGCTTAAATCATACCATTTAGCAGCTTTACAGATGGGATGCAATGACTGATAGGAAGATGAATACACATTTTTAAAATCATAGTATATTCTCTTTCAAGATTCATTTATAATCACCTTTCTAAAAAGTTCTTAGGAAAAAAGGCTACATTAGAAATGAAACTGCTGAGTTTTAACCTCAATATGGAAACAGATGACTATAATGAAATTTTCTATTATCCCGATTTATTATTTTTAAGTACAAGGGAGGGCTGATATCATTTACTAGAACACATGAATGCTTTAAAAGTCTATGTATAAGAATTTAACATAGTATCGGAGGACCCTCAAATTACTAAAAGTAGATCTGCCATGTGACTCAGCAATTCCACTCTTAGAAATCTACCCAAAGGACAAAAAAATCATAATTCAAAAGGAAACCTGCACTCCTATGTTAATTGCAACACTATTTACAATAGCTAAGATATAGAAACAACCTAAATGTCCAAAAATAGATGACTGGATAAAGATGTGGCATATATATACAGTGGAATACTACTCAGCAAGCAAAAAAGATAAACTCCTGCCATGCCATGCAGCAACATGGATGGGGCTAAAAGGGATTACACTCAGTGAAATAAGTCAGAAGGAAAAACAAAAATATCAGATGGTTTCACATCTATGAGGTATATAGGGAAACCAAACAAGGTATAGGCAAAGAAAAAAAATATACAGGACCTCCCTGGTGGCGCAAGGGGTTAAGATGCAATCTGTGAAGCTATTCACAGCCACTGCAGCACGAGATCGATCCCCAGCCACGGAGCAACCCACATGGTGCAGCAGACCTCTCCTGACTCGCCTGCTGCTCCCCTCAGCAGTGTACTTCGGTCAATCTGCCTGTTCTGTTCCCCACTCTGTCTCTGGTGAATGCTCTTACTCCCCACACCTCTGGCCTGTACCTCAGTTCTTATATGCATAAATAAATAAATCTTTAAAAAATTAAATACAAAACTAGCAGGAAAACTATAAATCATACAGCAGGAGAGGAGGAGGGAGAGGGATGCAAACAGGGGAGTGAAAAGCACAAGAGACTATGGTGATGGTTCATGGGTGACCTGGTTGGAAGAGTTTTGTGGGGATTACAACTGAGAAGAAAAATCAAACATTATAAAAAAAAAGAACAACAATGTAAAAAATATATATGTGTATACACATATATATTTAAATAAATATACTTAATAAAAATTAAAAAAGCAGTCGTGAGTAATCCCACACTCACAATTAACACACTATTTAGTGCAAATAGTTGAGAAATAATTATTAGCTGAATAAGGAAACTACATAAAGCTATGAAAACCAAATAGCTTGAAAACTAACTCTAATGAAGAAACAGTAACTCTGTACCTAGATTCTAATGACATTACTTCCTAGACTTTGCTCAAAAAGAAATTTTATTCTCAAATCCATACTACTATTGCTTCACAGTCTACTTTTAGGGTCAGTACTAGTAATCTAGGCTCCAAAACTACTATCTCAAATAAAGCTTAGTTTTTACTCAACATTAAACTTCAACTGTCTTCTACACTTGTTATCATAGCCCATACAGGAACCAGGGATAGCAGCTCAAATATATATTAATATAGACAGTGTCATGAAATAAATGTGCAAGTTTCTGTGATACTGACCTGTTGCAAATGCAACTTAGAATGTTACACAACTGAGATTTTAAAAATCCACAAATTTTCTTTTAAACTACCACGAAAATACCGTAAATATCTCTGTTGGAGATCATCTAAATTAAAAACAGGGATATAAAAACCTGTACTATGGAACATGGCGGCGAGGAGACGCTGCGAGTAAGATCTCCCATTAAAAAAAGTGAATAGGGAGGAAAAGCGGCAGGTCCCAGTGAGAACTGGGACACGGAAGATAAACGGGTGACGCCAGCGAACTGCCCGAAGAAGAAACTGGCCATAAAAGAGGACTAGAAGGGAGGGAAGCGCAGAACCCTGCTCCCCTCCCCCGCCCACAGAGGCGGCACTCTCCGACCGGCAGAGAGGAGGAAACAACAAACCAAAACAACCAACAAGAACAAACGACATAGCAAGCGGGACCATGAGTGGAAAGGAACTATTGCAGCCACCACACCCCGTGAACGGGAGCTGAGGCGAACCCTGCAGGATTCGCCGCGGCGGCGAGCGAACGGCTCCGGGCGCCAATAGAGAAGAACAAAGACCCCAGGAGACGCGCACACAGCCCGGGCT